CACTCCTCCCTGAGAGAGACTTCACCCTGAGTCATAAGGAAAAGGGGATGGCGTATTCTCTTAGCTACTTCCTGCTGAAAAGGGACGCTGTGGGTCTACCACATTCCTCTTCATAAAGTTCAGCTTCTTGAATAATTTGCTTGGTGTACAGATTGGATAGTTATGGAGAAAGGACATAGCCCCGATACACACCTTTCTTGATTTTAAACCATTTTCCCCTGCTCTGTTCAGGCAACAGCTTCTACGACTAAGTAAAGGTTTCGTATGAGCATAATTATGTGTTCTGATATCCCCATTCTTCCCAGTGTTAGCCATAGTTTGTTATGATCCACACAGTCAAATGCCTTTGCATAGCCAGTGAAGCACAAATAGACATTTTTCTGGTATTCTCTACTTTAGGTCAAGATCCATTTGACATTAGCAATATCTCGTGTACCATGGCCTCTACTAAGCCCAACTTGAATCTCTGGCAGTTCTCTCTCAATGTACTGTTCTAGCTGTTTTTAATTTCTGCAATATTTTGCTTATATATGATATTAATTATATTGTTTGACAATTTCCACATTCTGTTATATCACCTTTCATGGGAATGGGAACAATCTTTTCCAGTCAGTTGGCCAGGCAGCTATCTTCCAAATTTTCTGGCATAGATTGATGAGTACATCCAGCACTGCATGTTAGTTGGAAAAGTTTTTTTTTGGTATCCCATCAATTTCTGGGGCCTTAATTTTTACCAATGCCTTCATGGAGCTTTAACTTCTTTCTTACCATCGTTCTTGGTTATATAGTACTTCCTGAAATATTTCAGTGTCAGTCAATTCTTTTGATACAGTGTCTTGTGTATTACATCCATCTTTTAATGCTTCCTGGACCACTTAATATTTTGCCCATAGCTTCTCTCAGTATTGCAACTTGACACTTGAATTTGGTTTTCAGTTCTTTCAGTATGAGAAATGCTGGACGAGTTCTTCCCTTTTTAGTCTGCAATTCCAGCTCTCTGTCCATTCTGTTATAATCCTTTGCTTTGTCTACTCGAGCTGCCCTTTAAAATCATCTGTTCAGTTCTTTTACTTCAGCATCTCTTCCTTTTGGTTTGGCTTTTCAATGCTCTAGTGCAATCTTCAGGTTTTTCTGGCAACAGTTCTGAATTTTTCATTCTCCTCTTTCTTTGTAATGACCTTTTGCTCTCTTCATGGATGATATTCTTGATTTTATCCCAGAGCTCATCTGGAGTACTACCCTTAGGAAATACAAGTAAAAAACTACAATAAGATACTACTTCACAATCACATTATCAGCTGCTAGAGAGTTGATGTAACTTCTGGTAACTCTATATTTGTCACAGTAGAACTGTGCTTTCTCTTGTTGTTATATACCATTGAGTCAGAACTGACTCATAGCTGACCATAGAATGCATCTGTGTATTCTGCTGAAGTCACGACTAAGGGGAAGGACCTTTTGTCCATTAATGAGACCTCCTCCTTCAGCCTCCTTTAAGAGACTCCACTGGTGTAAGCCAGTTCTGGTGATAAAGTGCCTTAAGTGCTGTCCTGCTAGTGGAAATGGCAGTCATTCATATCTGCATATTGCTCTGTGGGAGAAAGATGAGCAGTCTTCTTCCTAAGCTCCAACGAAGCTCACTGTTAGTCCGAATCCACTTCAAGTCAATGGATTTGCATTTTGTTGTTTTTGAGTTTGTTTGAGGGTTTGTTTGTGTGGTTTTGTTTTTTTTGTTTGTTTGTTTTGTTTTTGCTAGTGCTTTGTCCACAGTTCTCCCCTCCAACTGCTTGAAGTTGATAGGTAAGAAACCTTCCCCAAGCCCTTTTTCCCTTCTCTGGACCTCAGTTTCCCCTTTAAACCTGGGAAGCCCTCACAGAGTTGTTTCTGTTGGTATTAAGTACTATCAAATCAAGTATGATTCCCAGCGACTCTATGAACAACAGATCTGAACCCTGTCCTATCCTGTGCCATCCTTATAATTTCTGATATCCTTAAGCCCATTGTTGCAGTCACCATGTCAATCCACCTTGTTGAAGGACGTCCTCTCTTTCGCTGACCTTCTAACTTTCTAAATATGGTATGCCTCTCCAAGGAATAGCTTGTCCTAACAGCATGGTAAAAATATTTAAGACGAAGTTTTGTCATCCTTGCCTCTAGAGAGGTGTACATTTTCCAAGACATATCCTTTGATTTTTTTTTTTAGGGGGGCATTCAATGGAATATACAGACATATCTGTTTTCCAAGACATGGGTGTTTTTTTTCATTTTTGGCAGTCCATGGGATGTTCAGTGCTCTTCTCCAACACCAGAGTTCAAAGGCATCCACTTTTCTTTTGCCATCCTTATTCACGGCTCTCAGATAAATAGGAAGTGACTGAAAGACCATGCCCTAAATTAAGTGCACCTTAGCCTTCAAATTCACATCATTGCTCCTCAGTAATTTGGAGAGATTCCTAACATTGTGACTTACCCAGTGCAAAAACGTCTCCTGATCTCCTGATGGCTGGTACCAAGGATGTTGTCTGTGGATTCAAGCCCCTTCCTCTATTTAGACTTGTGTACCATTGAGTCAAAACAGGCATTCCACGCCTGGCAAATGCTTCCTCATAAGTAAGTGTTTGCTAAAGCTCATCTTCTTTGCTTGGGAGAATCCAGAATTTGCAAAGGAAGCACTGCACTGAGAGGGATTCCAAACTCACTACGCATGCTCCGCACTCTGCTCCTGGAGGTCAGGGGCGGGGCCTCGGTGCGCCTGCGCACTTGCGTCCTCCTGCCCGCCTCCTGGGCTTCCGGGCCTGGCGAACGCAATGAAGCGAGAGGCCGGAGTTGCCGCCTTGTCGCGGCGCAGTGTGGGCGTGTGAACTTGGCCGTCTGATTCAGGGGCGGGCGTCCCGAGGTGTTTGGGGAGCCGGCCGGAGAGGACACAGGGAGGGCCCGAGGCCGCCCGCCGCCGCCACCAGCCGGCATGTCAGCCGAGGCTTCGGGCCCGGAGGCGGGCCCACCGCTGGAAGCCCCGAAGCCCTCGGGTCCCGAACCTGGCGCCGCTGCCTACAGTTGCAGTTCGCTGACCCCGAACAGCAAGTACGTGAAGCTGAACGTGGGCGGCTCGCTGCACTACACCACCCTGCGCACCCTCACGGGACAAGACACCAAGCTTAAAGCCATGTTTAGCGGCCGCGTGGAGGTGCTCACTGACGCCGGAGGTATGGACGCCGCTCGCGGGCCGTGCTGCGCCCCCAGGTCCCTGCCCTCCGCTCTGGTCGCCCCTTCCCTTGCATCCTGTCCAGCCAGCTTACTCCTCTCTGCAGCTCCCACCTCCCAGCTCATCGATGGCTTCGCGTTCATAACCTTCCCTCCTTCAATCTTTGATCACTCCCCCAACATTTGTGCATCCCCTAACTCTGCAGGGTCAGGAGTCGAGGCGGACACGCCAGCCAGTGACTTTGTTGATTTTTCAGCTCTCCAGGCGCTGAAACCTCACAATCCCATCCCATCACTTGCCCGCTCCCCATTCTTCTGCCCATAGCCGCTCAACTTCAACTACTTGGGAATACGCTCTAGTGCCAGCATCAATTCCCCCCCAGGCCTCCTTCAACAATTTCCACCTGTTCTGCCTTGACACCCCCAACTGCCGCCGGGAAGACTAGGAGATCTTGTTCCCCTGTCAGTGTTTTCTAACACAGGTTGCTCCATACAGTTTAGGAATTCATTTATCCCCTGGCAGTTACACTCCCATTTCTTCAGATGCCCACATGCCCAAATGGGACATGAAAAATTGTGGGCAAGAGGCTTTAGGATTGATTGTGATAAGGTGGGGAGAGGGAGAAAATTGTGGAACAGTGAAAGAATTTTTTTAAAGAGAAAAGCGAACTGGGGGAGTGGAAGAAGGAAAATGCAACAATGAATGAATGGAAATCCAAGTTTTCTGTAAACTTTCGTTAAAGTCACAAAAAATTTGCAAGGTGGCGTACAACTTTCAGATATCCGAAGGTGAATAAAAGAATTCATTTATTAAGTATTTGAAAAGTGCTAGTTAGTGTGGAGGATGCATTGGTGAAAAAAGCTGGCAAGACACGTAGTGGAATTTACATTTGGGAGGGACTTTGAATAAGTAAGTAAAATAAATGTAATTGCTAGTACTAATACATGCTGCAGAAAGTCAAGGACTGCAGTCTTCAATATGGATTGAAGCTCAACATCAAGAAAACAAACATTCTCACCACTGGGCCAATTGGCAGCAGCATTATGGATGGTGAAGAGTTTGAGATTGTCTACAGCTTTCATTTGCTTGGTTCCAAAATCAGCACTCTTGATACCAGCAGCCAGGAAATCAAGAGACTCATTTCATTGGGAAAGTCAGCTGTCAGGGACCTCTCCAGAGCACTGAAGAGCAACAACATCATTCTAGAGACTAAGTTGCACCTGATCCATGCCTTAGTCTTCATAATTGTTTAATATCATCAGAGAGCTGGATAATGACTAGGGATGATAGATAATTGATGCCTTTGGGCTGTGGTGCTGGAGAAGAGTTGAATATACCATGCACTGCTAAAAGAACAAACAAGTTTGTCCTAGAGGAGGTGAAACCAGGCTGCTCCTTGGAGGCAAGGATTCTGAATCTTTGTCTGACATACTTTGGGCATGTTAAAGGAAGGTATGGTCTTGGAGAGGGACATCATGCTTGGGAAGGTGGAGGGACAGTACAGGAGAGGAAGACCCTCAAGATGGATTGATTGAGTTACTGGGGCAATCGGGGTAGGTGTGTCAGAAACAATAAGGTTGGCACAGGATAGAGCAGGGTTTAGGGCATACATAGAGTCTCTAGGAGTCGCGAGCAACTCAAAGGCACCTAACAACAATACATTCTGTGAAGACCATAAAGGTTCAAATGATAATGACCTGTGGGATAGATGTTTTAAATAGGATGGTCAGAGTTAACAAGACAGATTTATTGATGAAGTAATTCTAAGATAGATTTTTTTCATGGTGAGAACCTACTGACCACAGAATAGACTTGAGAGGTAATTAATTCTTTGTGCCTGGAAATGTTTAAAAAGCCTGTGAGACTGAAGATGTTTTAAAGAGATTTCTTTGGATATGGGAAGAGTTTATGGCAGATCAGAATTCACATTTTCATACTACCTTGGGATCTTAACAACAACAGAAAGTATCCATTGCAATCCCAGAGGCACGCAGTTCGAATCCACCAGGTGCTCTGCTGGAGGAGCGGCAATCTCTCCTCCTGTACCAGTCAGATCTGATTTGACGGTACACACACACACACACACACACACACACGCACACGCACACACACGCGCGCACAAATAAATGAGAATAAAGTATCACAAAGCCTCCAATGAAGTCATCCACCTCCTGCCTGCTTTCTGTCTGACAGGTTGGGTGCTGATTGATCGGAGTGGCCGCCACTTTGGTACGATCCTCAACTACCTGAGGGATGGGTCTGTTCCACTACCAGAGAGTGCCAGAGAACTAGGGGAGCTGCTGGGCGAAGCGCGCTACTACCTGGTACAGGGCCTGATTGAGGATTGCCAGCTGGCCCTGCAGGTGAGGGCCCCTCTCCTGCCTGCTGAGTACACCGCCCCCCACCCCCTCCCCCCCTGTGCCTCAGAGAGCTAGCCAAGCAGTTTGATAGGAAACCCATTGTCAGCAAGTCGTTTCTGACTTATCGCTACACTATAGGACAGAGTAGAATCGTTTCCAAGGCAAGTTTGTAATTTTAATGGAAGTGGACGACCATGTCTTTCTCTCGTAGAGCACAGCTTGTGGGTTTGACATTTGTTTAGCAGCAGAGCACTTAGACCACTGCGCAACAAATGCTCTTCAGGTATTAAATGCTAAACAAACAAATAAGAGTCTATTGATTGCTATAGAGTGATTCTGACTCTTAGTGACCCTTTAAGGACAGTAGAACCACAGGGATTTCCCAGGTGATCTTTATGGAACTCACTACGACCTCTTTCTCCCACAGAGCAGGTTCAAACCTCTGATCCTGTTAGCAGTCCAGTGTTTAACATGGTTGTGTACCGTCAGGTTGGAAGTATCTTGTAGCTGACCCTCCAGTGAATTTTCAGAGGCAGTAAATCCCATGGGAAGATTGCCCATCTTCCCCATCACTCCACATAGATGGATTTGAACTGCGAGTCTTTGGGTTGGCAGTGCAATTCCTTACCACTAAGCCACCAGAGCTCCATAATGCTTAACAATAGTAGGACAGGGAAAAAGGAGACACAGGGTAGTGCCTGCAGGGGTTACTTTCTGGCCTGGCTCATACTAGCTGTGACCTAGGACATTTGAGGGTCTTACCTTCTCCCTCCTGCTGCTCCTCCCACCACTTCATGTGAGAACTGTTAGAATGCTTGAGTGTTCCTTTTGCCTCTTGCTGTTTTAACTCACTCACTCAGCTGTTATACTACTGAGTAATGATCCTTAAGCACAAGCCCTGTCTACTCTCGCTTGCTCAGGAATCCTGCCTAATTCGCTACCTAGTACCAGTTGAGAAATCTAAATTGAAGTAGAATGACAACAACCATCTTGTCCTTTCCTTGGAAGTTGTACCCCCTCTACGCCCCTCTGTTTTTCATATCTCCTCCCTCACCTACCCAAGCAGAAAATCCTTTCTTCGACTATAATGAAATCTAGGAGGCAGAGCTCTCCTGATAGAACAGGATTAGCATTTCAGCCCCACTTCTTAGGCTCTACCTCTGTGCAGTAGCAGCTCTTGAGGCATTTCTGTGGGTCCATTAAGATTTAGTTCGAGGAGCAGAGTTCAGAAACCACAGCCACGCCTTGAGTTGAGGGCTCACTTTTCCAGGGCTGACTGAGTGACCTTGGGTGTGTCACTTCCCATTGCTGGGATTGTATCTTCATGTTCCAGGAGATAGAAAAAGTACACGCTTTTGAGTTTTACATAAAGCCTTTGACTCTGCCTTTTTTCTTTTATGATACAGTTTAAGATATCCCACCATTTATGATAGAGTGGTAATACAGTATGCGATTCTTTTTTTTTTAAATTTTATTTTATTTTATTATTTTTGTGTACGTGTACCGTCAAATCAGATCTGACTGGTACAGGAGGAGATTGCCCCTGAGGGCTTCCCCGGCAAAGCATCTGGTGGATTCAAACCATGAGCCTCTGGGATTGTAGTTGCAGCTCCTTGCCACTAGGCCACCAGAGCTCCCCCAATACAGTATGAGATTCTTTTTTAATGCCCTTTATATAATATGATAATTGTGAATAACACTTTAGTATCTTGGGGAATACTTGTTACATACTTGCGTCAGAAATGACTCATAGCTGACCCTCCAGATGGTTTTCAGAGACTCTAAGTAACCTGGGAGAAGATTGCCCATCTTTCTCCTGTGGAGCAGCTGGCGGATTCGAGCCACCTAATTATGGGTTGACAGTGTAGAACTCCCTGAGGAATGTTTACAGGTTCTTCTTTTTTTATTCTAGTAAATTATTGTAACACATTTGCCAGTTTTTAGGATAAAATTCAGTGGCATCAGTTACATTCAGCATGTTATCGCCATGATTTATTTCAAAAGTCTAAACAATTCTTACTGTAAATACCCAAAAGAGTAGAATTTATTTGGGCAGTATCCATGTTTTTCAGGGGTTTTTTTTATTCAACCTACAGAAAAAATACACACTTTTTATTCATTGTGTATAACCAAAGTGAGGCTTATGAAATTGATACCTTTAATGAAATATATTCTAACTTTAAAAAAAAAAGTGCTGCTTGGGACCCAGGGACCCACTAAACGACTTTCATTATCCACTAGTGAATTCCTGTTTGTAGTTTGAAAACCACTTAACAAGATGACGATAGAAGTGCTCTCCTGCGCTATAGTTAGCTCACATTGTTGCACACCCACTGTGTGTCATGAGCAATTGCTTTCTGCTTGAATGTACATTTTGTTCCCGTGTTTGACTTAAAAAGCAACATGAGGGAGGTTGGGTGATACATCACACTCAAAGAGCCAGTAGATAGATTGCAGAGCTCGGATTCTGCTTGGTTATCTAACTCCCAGGTACAGTGCTTTCTCTTCTGTGGGCTGGCCACCTCCTCTCCCTTGCAGTTTCTCTGCACCTCTTTTCAACCTCACTCTACACATCTAGAGTTTCCTGGTTGTAGTTTTTTTGTGTTGTTTTGGTTTTATTGTTATTTATTAAGATTCCAAGAGTTATCTATCATGTTCCTCCATTTATAGCACGTAGTGATCTTTCTCTTTTATTTTTTTTTGTTTGTTTTTTGTTTTCCTTATTGTATATGGTCAAATTGGATCCAACTGGTACAAGAGGAGATTACCCCTCCTTCTCCAGCACCCCATCTGGTGGATTCGAACTGCGTGCCTCCAGGATTGCAGCACAGCTTCTTGCCACTAGGCCACCAAAGCTCCCTTCTCTCTCCTTTTTTTTTTTAATTAACTCCCACTTCTTATAGGCACCTGTTCCAAGTCTTAGACTTTGATATCTATGCTTGGATTATGTTTATATCCTTAGGAGGCTAACACGTTGCTTACATATACGTTTTTCATTTTCCCAAATGTCATTGATCATGTTCTGCTTCTTAGTTGTTTCTCACTCAGCACTGTTTTTGAGATCTCTTCAGGCTGCTTTAGGTACACCTACTTCTTGACTTCCTACTGCCATGCAGGAAGCTATGGTGTGCATTCACCACATTTTCTTTATACCTTGTCCTGAGGTTGGAGGGCCAGATCACTTCCCCTTTCCTGCCATCTGTTGCTGGGAGAGGAATTCCTGTGTCACAGGGCATGTGCAGACTTTCATGAAGTCTCACCACTTTACTCTCCAGAATGACTACAGCAATTTATAGTTATTGTCGGCAGTGTGCAAGTCCTGTTCATGTTTCAATAATTTATTTTGCCTATCTGAATGCTGGAGAGTGACCTCATTTTAATGTGCGTACTTCTGGTTACTAATTGAGCATCTTTTCGTGTATTTGCTGTTTTTTGTTTCCCTCACTATGAACTGCCTTTTAATATTTATGAAGTTTTCTACTGCATTACCTATTCTTTTTTGCTTTACAGGAGTTTGTTTTCTTTTTTATTTGGTTGGGTTTTTAAATTTTTTTTTTTTTGTACAGGAGTTTCTTGCATATATTAGTTCTGTCATTTGCAACCTGGTTTCCTGGAGAGAATTTAGACCTATTCAATAATGAGCTTATACCTAACAAATTAACTTTTGTCCTATGAATCTGTAATGGTGCTGCTTACCTAGTAGAGGGAGTTAAGCAAAGAACCCCCAGCTGAGAACAGCTCTTCTAGAACAATTGCCAGTCAGTTTCAAATGTTGCAAATATTATCTCTTTGAATATTACCTGTCTGTGGCATTTGTTGTTGAATAGATAGCCTTGATTTTTCAGAAAAATTACAGATAGTTATTCATCTTTAAGTTAGAATTTATACATTGTAGTTGTTTTAAAAAACAGAGGCAATAAAAATAAAATAAAAAGCATCGTGTATCTTTAGGTCCTTTCCATGTATGTGTGTGTGTGTGTATTTTTGCCAAAATAAGACTCAATTCTATGTGCTGTTTTGTACCCTGCCTTTTTTTGTTGTACTGCTGTTAACAGTTGCCCTCTTTCCATGTCAATAAAGTTTTATCTAACACTCAGGCCATATTTAAATTTCTCTACTTGGTTCATAAATGTGTTTTCTAGCTAGTTTATCTAACAAGGACCCAGTGTAGGCCTTTACGTTGGGTCTGGGTATATATATTCCTTAGGTGTTTTCTCATCTAAAACAAAGATAACTTACTAACTTCCCAAGTAGACCTCCAGTCTTCTGCTTGATGCCCTACCCTCTGAATTTCATGATATCATCTAGTTCATTAACCTACCCTACCCTAAATGTCTAAAACTAGAAGCTAGAGTTAAAGGTTTCATATTAAACATTATCGTGAAGGGAGCTCTGGTGGACTAGTGGCAAGAAACTGCACTGCAATACTGAAGGCACGTGGTTCGAATCCACCAGATTCTCCGCTGGAGAAGGAGGGGCAATCTTCTTCTGTGCCAGTTGGATCCAATTTGATGAAAACAAACAAAAACATATGATGAGACTATATTTTAGATGATGTTACAGATTTCTAATTGTGATCACATGGAGAGACCTCTCATGTTACTAAATACGATTCACTGTTAGTGATGCTCAGATTTTTGGATGCTTTGGATTCCGGTGATGGTGGCTTGGTCCTCCTTGATAGTTCCATTTCCTTGTTGCCAGCTTTGATGTTATCTACATGTTGTTACTTGGGTAACAGATGAGTATCAGTTATTTATCAATCACATATCAATTGATTATCCTTGCCTAAATCAAGAATTTTCCTAGGATTATAGAAAAATTTCCCAAGTCCATCATTCTTTTAACATTATTGTATAGGATTCTTTGTAAAATCAGTTTTCATTATTAGTTGAAATATTTCTTTTAATGTAGCCAAACCCTTCAATATTTTTTTACCTAAAATGTTTCATTTTGAGATCTTTTAAAAAGATTTTGTCTTATTTTATATTAATTGTACAGTTTTACTTTGATGTGTAGTTCTTTTAACCTGAGTGAAATTCACTTTGTAAATATGAATTGAAAAGAGATTGAACATTTTGTGGTTTTGCCCCCATAAAAGGAGCTCATTTTCCTGGTGTCTGTTACTAAATTGTATGGTGGTTATTGCCCAAGATCAGTGATTCATGCCTCCTGTATTCAGGCTCTTGTTTAATTCTCTCCCACACTGAATAGCCCTGACTTATGTAACCAGTAGGGTACTGTGGAGATGTTGATGCATGACTTCGGGAGCTAGGCCATAAAAGACATTGCAGCTTTTCTCTTAAGTACTTCACTCTGGGGGAAGCCAGCTTCCATGCTGTGAGGACCCTTAAATAACCTTAAGGAGGAACTGAGGACTCCTGCCAACAGCCACTCCAGGCTTGGCCATCATCAGAGCGGACCTGACCAGCATCTTTAACTGCAACCTGTTGACAGACCGGAAGCCAGAACTGCTCACCTAGGTCAATTCCAAATTCCCCACCCACAGGAAATGTGTGAAATAAAATAAGTATTTTGTTGCTGTGCTGTTTTAAGCTGCCAAATGTAATTTGCTGTATATACAGCAATAGAGAATTAATACAGTTTTGGGTTTTTTTATATATAAGTGAGGTTCTATCATAACCAAGATCTAAACTGTAGGCACGACTTTAGGTTGGCGAAGTGGGCAGAAGCTGTGGGAAGTGTTAGTGAAAGTCTGAAGAGTTTTTTTCATTAAAGGCTGATGGCCTTTGAGGATGCAGCAGGTGAAGGTTTATAGATCAGTGACTATTAGAAATGGATGGATGCGAATCCTTGTTATGTAGGGGCAGAGAGTTCACCAGCACTGTCACAATAGAGTATTCTCAGGAACATGATTTAAGGCTGACACTGAGGATGAAATTGTAAAATTTTTACTTCAGATCTCGGGAATTAGAGGTGGAGAATGCCTCAAAGATACCATTCAAGGACTTCAGAGAAGGTTAAAAGCATTATTCCTCAGCCATCTTAACACAAGCCCAGGAAAGAAAAGAATTTATCCCATAAAGATTTGTTGTTGTGATTTCTTTGTAAAGTGAACCCCAGTAAAATTCACAAGACATCTGTTACATTTGTAAGAAAATTGACAGAAACAATACCAGCGTGGATTGAAAGGGAAAGTCTGCCAGAGGAAAGGAGGGCTCTGGATCCCTCAATTTCTACAGGCAAGAAGCAGGCTGAGAAAACTATGGATTTGTGAGCAGAATACCTTTCATGAAAAGAAAGGATGACTCAGGGAAGAGCCAGGAGCCTTGAAGGATTATTCCTGGACATGGTACAAATCAGGGAACTTAAAACACTTACCAAACTGGATTTCAGAGTTGTTTTTGGACAAGTGACTCCTATCTGCCGTGTTCTTCTTCCCACCTTTTGAACAAGAGTGTTCACTTGCCAGTCCCACCATAGTGTATGAACTGGAGGCAGATAACAAGAATTTGTACTTCAAGCTGATACTGTAATGCGATGAGACTGGGGTGGACCTTGGAGAAGGTTTTGCTTGTGGGGAGGGACGTGAGTCATTGGTCCGTAGTGCACTCAGTGTTTCTTGTCTCCTGTTCCTCGTTACATTGTGTGGTCTCCTCCACTAACCTGACCTCCATAGCTTGTAGGCTAGTGAGGAAATGATGGAATGTGACGTCTGAAGCTAGGCCATAAACATTGAGGTCTTCACCTGGCCTCTCCTTGATCATCGGCTCTGGGAAGGCCAGCTGCGTGTCATGAGACATGAACAACCCTGTGGAGAGGCCCACAGGGCAGAGATCAGGCGCTTCCTACCAACAGCTGGCATGAACGAACCTGCTCACAAAATTCTTCAGACGAGCAGCATGTGAATGTCTAGCCCTGACCGACGCCGTGATTATATCTTTATGAACAGCTCTACACCAGAACCACCCAGCTAAGCCCCTCTTGAATTCTTCTTCCACAGAAACTCAGATAATAAATATAAGTACTGTATTCTCATGTATACAATAGTCTGCTTATGAAAACTGTTCTGTCCATTGGTTTTTTTTTGTACCAGGGCCACACTTTTTATTATAGCTTTGAATAGAGTTAGTCTCTCCTCTCCCTTTTAAAAAATTGATGCAGTTGCAGACTTATTTTCTTCATATTAATTTTAGAGTACATGTTACGAGTTTCTAGAGGGTTTTTCCCTAGAATTTGTATTAAGATTCCCATGTGTCTGGTCCTGCTTCTGCCTCTACCATTGTGCTGACCAGGTTCACTCATTCAGTGTCTGTTCTTGAGAATGCTTATGGCAACTTAGTCCTGAGGTAGGAAGAAACAGACTATAAATGGGTGATACTGGGTTTTTTTAAATGGGAAAAATGCTATGAAGAAAAGACACTGATGTGAAAGGGAGCAGTGCCTCCTCTAGTGAGGGAACGTAGGGAGAAGGACCTTCACCCTCCAGCACCATTTGAGCTGACCTCTGGCTCAGTAGGAACCAGCCATGCAAAGGGCTGAGTGAAGAGCTTCCCAGGGAGGGGGACCATTGTGGGCACAGCTGAGTTGTGACGAAACAGACCAGTAGAGCTCAAGTCTGGCAAGAGGGGTAGGAGAGAAAGTTGGTGAGAGCCACAGAGATTAGATCCCTGGAGAAGTTTCGACTTTTGAGTAGAGGAGTGGCCCTTGTTTGTCCTGTTAACCACCTTCCGCTTCTTCCCCAGCAAAAAAGGGAGAACCTGTCGCCACTGTGCCTCATCCCTACAGTGACATCTCCCCGGGAGGAGCAGCAGCTCCTGGCCAGCACCTCCAAGGTGAGGCCCCTGAGCCCTGTAGGGTGGAGTCTGGGGGCCTCTTTCTGCAGCCTGACCCCCCCTCTCCTTCTCCATCCTTTCTCCCCCAACAGCCCGTGGTGAAGCTCCTACATAATCGCAGTAACAACAAGTACTCCTATACCAGGTGACTGCCCCATGGGGGGAATGCTGGGCGGAATCTGGGGATCCAGCAGGGCAGTCCTCCTGGCCCAGAGGGAAACCCCCAAAACACAGAGACCAAAATAATACCTGAGTGCAAATTCTAGCTTTGCCACTTCCTCACCGGGTCCTCTGGGGAGTTTTAACATTGGTAACATGGGGTCCAGGTTAAGAGTAAATGAAAATGGCTACCATTAATAAGAGCACCTCTGGTGGCTCAGTCCAGAGGGAGTTACGCTGCTAACCCAAAGCTCACAGCTCTTTGACAGTTCGAATCCACCAGTGGCTCTGTGGGAGGAAGATGGGTGATCTCTCGTGTCATTTACAGCCTCAGAAACCTGCTGCAGGGTCAGCTCTGTGTTGGTTCCTACTCAGTGGCAGTGGGTTAAGGGTCTCCTTGGTGGGTTTTCCCCCCTGTACTTAATAAGCACTTATTTTGTAATAGGCATTACCCTAAATACCTTATTTATGCAGGTAACCCCCAACTTAGGAAAGGAGTTTGTTCCCACAAGTCCACCATAAGTTGGTTCTGATGTAAATGGAATACTTTTTTTAAAGGTTTTATTATTACCTTTTATTGTCAGTGCCTTTATAAATCTGATTTTTGTCTTTAGAGTTTATAGAGACTATGTATAAACTTACAGCTTCAGTATATGTACTTCCTGCTTCTCCAGTTAATGCATGCATTGTGTAAGCCGAAGGGGGGCAAAGTGGGAATCTAGCTCATTATACCATTGATAATAGGCCATAAGTTGACACTACCTGTATCTCTCACATTTGTTTCTGTAGCTTTTCCTGTATACCCATTTTATACTTGAGAGGTGAAGTAACTTGCCTAGGATCACTTGGTTAAAAAGTACTAGTGCCAGGATGTCAGGTTAGCCTGCATGTGGGACTGCTTTGCTGAGTTGGGTTTTACTTAGCAAATGCTGCCTCTCTTCTGAGGGCAACTTAGCTTGGCTCTGGAGGTAGAGAAAGTGCCCTATTGAACACTAGAGCCCTCAGTAGGACCAGAGAGCAGGGAGACTGGGCCCCTATCCCGGAGAGAGCAGCCAGTCATGCTGAGGCCTCCTGGGCGCCTGGTCCTCAGCACTTCAGATGACAACCTGCTTAAGAACATCGAGCTGTTTGACAAACTGGCCCTGCGCTTCCATGGCCGGCTCCTCTTCCTCAAGGACGTGCTGGGGGACGAAATCTGCTGCTGGTCTTTCTACGGGCAGGGACGCAAAATTGCCGAGGTGTGCTGCACCTCCATCGTCTATGCCACAGAGAAGAAGCAGACCAAGGTCAGAAGGGACAAAGGGCCTGGGTGGGGTAAGGGTGGAAACAGGGCAGGGTGGACCAGGACCATGGATAGGGGCAGCTCAGCCAATCAGATGAGAGAATTCTGGCACTGAGAGTTAGGAGCCAGGGTTCTGGGTCTTGATCCTGCAGTCTTGGCACAAGTCACTTTAACCTCTGTAGCTCACTGTAGTTTTCTGTGATATGACTGGAGTAAACTGGGTCCTTAATGTAGGGTTATTGGATGGGTTTCCGAGCTGTCTGAAATCCCGAGTTAATGTGGGAATTTAGAAATACACCTTTTTCTGTGTTGTGGGTCGTAGTTGTTATTAGAATTTCAGAAAGGCCCATGACTTCAAGTAAGTTTTAAAACCTCAGGACCTTATGGGCTCACAGAACATCCTTTGGATTTGTAGTTCTGAGTCATTAACATGGCATTCACCAGCAAATACTGCCTGGGCACTTACTCTGTGCCCAGCACTGCACCAAGCCAGGCCAAGCCAGAGGGGAATGAAGTGCTGTGTCAAACACAAGCCCTCTGGCATCTGCTTGCCACGGGTCTCACCAGTGTGGCGGCTCCTAACCTTGATGTGAAAGGAAGTGCCTCAGATGCAACAAAGTTTGTGCTAACTCACACCTTTCTGCTTTTGCATACACTTACCATTCCCTTTTCTTGAAATTCCTTTTCCTTGTCCTTGTCTGCCTAATGAAGTTGTATTTCATCTAAAAGGCCCAGCCAGGCATCACTCTCTTTGGGAATACCTTTGCTCATGAGCCTTTAACCCACCAAGTGCAGTCAAAGTTGGGCACTACCTTCCTGGCTGTGGTGGTGTTTCTGGTAGTCTGTAGCGATTGCTCCTGCGGCACGATGTTGGCTTGTTGAGGGCAGGATTGTGTCGTTTCCTTTCCTACCTCCCTCGCACTAGCCCAAACCCTTTCATGCAATGGATGATAGAAAACATGTATTGAATGAATGTGTGAATAAGTGAGCAACCCAGCTTCTAAGACATTTCCCCTGTAATTGAAGAGACTGAAAGGTAAGGCGTTCAGTGATCGGAGTACAGCTGTGTTCATTGCATCGTGCAAGGGCCTCAGGATGGGAAACCTCCCCCTCACCTCTGGTTTCGTCCCTCTGGCCTGGCTTCCATCGGCCACCTTGCTGGTTGTCAATGAATATATTAAGCACAGTCCTGCCCCAGAGAGGTACAGTTGCCTTTTCCCAAACCGCTGTACTCGAGCCGTCCGTCTAGCTCCCTGCTACCCTTCCTGATCAGATGTGACCTCAGCGAGGCCTTTCCATTTACAGCTCTGGCCATTCTCATCTCCTCTCCTCACCATATTTTTCTCCATGACATTTATTATCCTCTGACTTGCTATTTTTATCAAATGTGTGTCTCTTAAGTCCTCCCCTATAGAATATAAACTTCCTTAGGGTAAAAGTTTTGTCTGTTTTGTTTGCGGCTATATTTCCAGTGCCCCAAACAGTGCCTGGCATAGTGTGGTCTCTCAGAATAAGAATATGCCAAGAAACGTGGCAGCAAATAGCTCACCCATGACCCCTACAGCTGACCTTGGAAGTGCAGCTGTGACTCTGCCGAGTAAAGGAGTTGCAGAAAGGACACTCTAGGCAGTAGGGGCTGTGGCTGCAAAGGCTGACGGTGTGCCCGTGCAGGAGGCTGGGGAAGGGGGGGACAGCTCTGTGCGACAGGGACACAGGGTAGGAGCTGGAGGTTGCTGGCCTTTTACAGGTTGAATTTCCAGAGGCCCGGATCTTTGAGGAGACCCTGAACATCCTGATCTACGAGACTCCCCGGGGCCCAGATCCAGCCCTCCTGGAAGCCATAGGGGGTGCCACTGGAGGTGGAGGGGCAGGCCGAGGGGAGGATGAGGAGAACCGAGAACATCGTGTCCGCAGGATCCATGTCCGGCGCCACATCACCCACGACGAGCGTCCTCATGGCCAACAGATTGTCTTCAAAGACTGACCTCTGACCCTTCCCCTGCCTTCCTGCTGACCCTGGGCCTCACTCCTTCCCGTTTGCCCGTTCCCAGACCTTTGCCCCGGCTCTGCTGGCCAAGTCGTGGGTCTTCCTGTTGGCCCTTCATTGCATGGTGCAGTTTACATGGGTCCTTTCCATTTGTTCCTGCTTTCCTGCTAACAATACGGTACATTCCAGACCCTGCCCTCAGGCAGAGCCCAGCAGAAGGCGTCCATTCATCCACTCGCCTCCATTCTGATCTTTCTTTCCCTCTTTCTTCAGCACCCTGTACAAGCCAAGGTGTCAGCTCAGCGCTTTAACATCCACCTTTCTGAGCCACCTTCCCGCCATTGTGCAGGGTAGTTTGCTTGGCCCGCTTTTCTCCCCCGCCAGTTCTTCCCACCTCAGTAGCTTTGTACTAGCCTGGACTGGGCCTGTACTAGCTGCTTTACTTTTTCTCTTTCATATTATTTATTATTTTAATTTTTTATTAAATTATTGGAATAAAGCTGAGGTGAGGTTCTGGTACTGGTTCGCAGGGAGAGGGACAAGAAGATGGCTGGTGTTAAAGAGGTGCCTAGCTAGCAGGGTGGGCGAAGAGGTGAGCCCTGGCCCAGCCCTTTCCCTGGTCACACAGCCCAGTCCTGGTCACAGGGAAAAAAGGAGTCGGGAGTGAGAAGAGGGTTCAGAAGTCTGTATTTTGTGCTTGTGGCAAGTTCCAGTGCCCATCCTCACAGCCCAGCTATCCCTAGATGGCCATCCCAGAGTGCAGCATCTCCGATGAAAACACTGCCCTTCAGAGGTCTGGTGCGAAGACAAAATCAAGGGCCTGGCGCTCAGCCCCAGCCACGTTGGGGTGCCAGAGGTCCACAATGAAGACCACACGAGGTCCATCTTCAGGGGACCCTAGCATAAAGGGAAATAAGCCAGAGCAGCTTACATAAGTGCTTACATGCCAGGAGCACTCAAAATATTGATAAAAACAGATAGCAAATAGGTGCCAGACACTGTCCTAATCCTTCATACATATTAGCTCTTAATCATTAGAACAAACTGAGGAACACCGTAATTGTGCTCATTATGTACAAAGTAACTGAGGCACAGAAAGGTTAAGTAACTTGCCTGACGTCACAGTTAATGAATGTGAACTGAGAGAGGAACCTGGGTACCAAAAGCCCAAGGGCCTGTGCTGCTAACCTCTCCTGGTTACATTAACTTATTTAAGCCTTGCAGTCACCTGATCAGGAACGTGGTGGTTCCGTTTCACAGGTGACTGAAGAAGTCACGTAACTTGTTCGAGGTCGTACAGCTGGACAGTTGTGCCAGAACAGGAAGCCAGTTGGAGCCCTCTAATTCTGTTCCCCCTTAACTCTAGTCTTCACCCAACGCTCACCCCTGGTCGGAGGGGGAAACCCTTACCATTATGTGCCACTGTGTGCAGGAAGGAATCGTCCACAAGTAGACAGTGCCCCTCTGCCCAGCACTGGGGTTCACCGCCAACCACCAGCTCACATCCCGGGGGGATCTTCAGACCTGTGGAAAGAGACTTGGTCATCTAACACCCCAGCTTCTATCCAAGGAGCCCACCTGATTGTTTACTCTTGAAGCAGATCTGAGGGTTGAATGTATCCCATTTCCAAGGTGACATCTCTTTGGAGGTTGTCTTTTTGCTCTCTGGAAAGTGAACCGAGGATAAGAAAGAGTAATGGATTAAAGTGCTAGGAGATAGGGAGGATGCAGAGCAAAGTGCAGTCCTCTGTGCGAGAAAGGAGAAAGACTTCATTCAGGACGTGGCAGCTCCTCCTGGGCTTCCTCAGCCTTCAGAGTGCTAAGCCCTGTCTCCTTCAGGAGGTCTGAGAGATGGCAGGCTCCATCTTGCTTTCAAATCGAGAAACATAGGTGCTGTGAGAAAACAACTGATAGCTCGCTAAGCAGGAGTCTTCCAGGAGATGGTAGGGGAAAGGACTTTTCAGTGCAAGGAGAGCATTTGCATCTTCCTGCCTCACCCAGATCCCCTCTTGACCAGAGGATGGCCAGGGAGTGGAGAGGACAAACATGGACACGATCCAGAGCCCAGACTTGATCCTGAAGGCTAGTGTACCTTCAAGCATAGGACACAGTGCTCTTAGATGAGACAAGGTCAGGTACAAATGGCAAATGTAAATTGGTTAGTATCCCCCCCCCTTAAGACATCAAAAAGAAAACCACAGTTTGTTTGATGTGACCACAACTCCAACCCATCGCCGCCCATGACTCCTTTTACAGTTACAGCATGCATAGCTAGATAGCTCAGAGAAACCAATATTTTGTTAGAATTTTGAGTTCCCTTTTTTTTTAAAGTTTAAAATTGTTTTCATGAGTACTTTGAGCTTTAAGGCAGACAATACAAATTCTCACAGGCCTACAAAGATTTTTTGTTTTTAAAACAAGAGGGTGGGGAAGAAGCATAGAAGACAGAGATGGCAGATGGCCTTGGCAAAGTTTATGAACATGGTGTGCAGATAAGAAGCCCAGGAAGGGAGCGCAGATAATGGGGAGTCATGGAAGACCTCTGAGAATGAGGGCATGTTTGCAACAGCAGTACAGAGTGTTTAGGTGGCACCCAGGAGGGATTCCTGGGGACAAAGAGGATGTCTGTAGGCAGCATGTACTTACCTAGATGGCATCTGACCCGGGCATTGGTGGGCCCACAGCGACCCTCAAGCCGGGCCCCAGGCAAAAGGACAGAAAAGCCAGCGTTGCCGAAGGTGTTGCCACTCATAAAGCTCCGCAGCCCCCTCAGTGCCCTGTAGGCCCCAGGGCACCGGCGGCAGTTGCTGGGTTGACATCGGCCTGCTTGGTACAGCAAGAGCTGGTAGCACCCAGGGGCTAGGGGCAAGGACCAGCCCCGAGGCAAAGGGGTAGTCCCTGCAAAGTCCCAGCTCACAGCCCTAAAGTCCCGAAGGATGGCAGGGAAGCTGCTTTCCAGTAGCTCCACGTCATGCCGCTGGGCATCCCGTGGCACAAAGGGGGCTGAAGGCAAGTCTGGCAGGAAAAGCAGGCCTGGGCGTTGAATGCCCAGGACCCCCGGCCCCCCTCCAGGGCCTGGTCCGCCCTGAGCTGCCCGCCGTACCCTGCCCATCCCAGCCCAGGAGTAGCGCCTGGCATAGGCTCGAAGACGACGACTCACTAGGCCTTCTGCCCGGGGTCCTTCCCCAGGGTCTCCAAGGCTCCCTGAACTTAGTCTGCCAACCTCAGAGCACCCACCAGGCCCACCTCCAGCCCGGTTCCCAGCCCCCAGGGCCTGTATGTCCTGGGAGCCCAAACGGTAGCAATACCAGAGGAAAAGGGAAGTGAGGGCCCCAAGGAGCAGAGTAAGAGCTGAGGAGGCCAGGGGCAGTGGCCATGAGGGCACAATGGGCAGGGAGGCCCTCGCCAAAAGACTTGGGGCATCCCCCAGGCCCAAGCCCCCCTGTCCTCCCAGCTCTCCACTGGTCCCTTCCAGAGCTGCTCCCTGGTCCCCCCCTAGGCTGCCTCCCCTCCACATTCCCACTCCTGGTCTGACTAGTGGAGGCCTCTCTCTTCACTCTGTCTCCCTCACCCTCTCTACTACACCTCTAACCCCTTCTTCCTTTCTTCTCCTTTTCCTTTCTCCTTCCAAGTCTCCTCTTGCTCTTTGCCCTCCTCCCTCTTTTTCCTTCCCACACAGTCTCCCCTCTTCACCAGAGGTCTCCCCTGCTCTCTTTTCTCCTCCTACCCTCTTTCCCCCCTCCTGTCTCTCTCCTCCTTCCTTTCCCACTTCCCTGGACACCAGTCCCTGCTCCACCTGGATCTGCAGCCCCGGGGACCGGGGACCGCAGCCTTCCTCCACGAAGGCTTCTCTCTCTCTCTCCTTTCTCTCCTTCCAGCCCCAGCCCTAGTCCCGCTAGTCCTGCCTCTCTCTCGCCCACCTCTCCTCTACTCAGATTCTTCCTTGGCTCCCACTCACCCTGACGTCACCCCTCCCCACAGCGCTCTCAACTCTGCTACCCTCGCCCCCACTCTGCGCCCTGAGGCAGCTGCAACTCGGTCTTAATGGGAGGGGGACTTTTCTCTAGGTCTGCACACCCCCTTTCCGCCCCACGTGGGGACAGCAGGGAGTCCTGCACCAACCTCGAGCCACCCTGCAATGCGAAAAGAAGGCGGCAGGGACCGAGGGTGGGGGCGGAACAAGTCCAGGGGCGGAGCTCAGACTGACAAGGCTAGCGTTAGGGTACTGGGGGGCTGGGACTCCAGTCAGTCCATCAGTGGGCCTGCGATTCCCCTCTTTCGTCTTGACCAGAGCGAGCTGCTCCAGCCAATCACAGAAGGGCTCGCTCAGGCGGGGCTGAAAGAGAGCTGTCCGCGCGCTGGTGGTGCTGAAAACAGCGCACTCCAGAGGCGTGTCAGGGAGCCCCTGAGACCAAAGGCAGAGCCGCCTGGCAGCTACATAGGAAAGCGGGGCCCTTTCCCTCTAGGCCGTGTCTGTCACCCGGGACGAGTGGGAAACTCGTCGTTTTTCTGGTGGAGGGGGCGGTACATTCCTCATAACCTTCTGAAAAGGAAAGGAAGTCCCATGAGGGGTCAGGATGTGGGGAATGGGGCATGTGGGGAGGCCAGAGCAGGTGCAAACCTGGCTTGCCACTTCTCGGCGCCGTGGGGAGAGAAGATTCGGATACCAGATGTGCTGGAATGATGGGGAGGGGAAGAGTGGGGATGTTAATTACTGCTGGGACCAGAGAGTTTCCTTTGCCTCCCTGGGGGCTGCGGGAATGAGGGTTAAGGTCCCCCGCTCAGATGGTCCCTCCTTCCTCCCTCTGCACTTCCTCCTCCCCCCCACCCCAAATAAATCCAGGCCCCTCCCCTCGCCCGTCCCCAGGATCTGACGTGGGCTCGACACCTTTCTCATTTCTCCCTCCTGCGGCCCCAGTGCCCGAGCTCCACTCTGCTGGTTCCGCAACCCCCTCCCCTTCCCGCCAAGCCCTGTTAGAGCCCAGTGTAGACCATCCTGTTTTCCAACCCACCTCAGCCCTCCAGAAACCGCCTTGCCCCTCCCCATATTCCCGGCTTGGAATTCCACCACCCGTGGACTCTGGATCCGATCAAGAGGGTAAACCACCGATCAAGAGGGTAAACCACCGGGAGACCTGGCCTTTGGGGCCCGCTCAGCCCCACCCCCTGCAGCCAGAGCCGCGCCTCCTTTTACCACCCACCGGGAGCAGAAGACCTAAGAGGTTGGGCAAGGGGGGGCCTCCAGGCACCCCCCCAGCCCAATTTTGCCCCTCCACATCAGGGGTGCAGAGATCATCTTGGCTGACCGCTTGCAGGAGCGAGAAAAAAATTAAGGGAAAGATAAAAGACGAAAGAAAGGTGGCAACTAGATTATTTAGGAGAGGCGCAAAGGAGAGAAATCGGGGTGAGTCGCCATGGGGACTCTGGAGGCCCGACACCCGTCAAATCTGCAGCTACTGTTTCTAATCCTGCTGAGTGGTCCCTGGATTCAGGGTAAGAACAAGGGAATGTGGGGGTGGGCTCCAGTCCCCGTAGGGTCCTCCGCCCTCCTTTCTCCAAGCATCCTGAGCCTTCTGAGCCTGCGGGGAGGGGGAGGGGAGGGGAAACACGGACTGGGAAGGGCCATCCAAGGCCTTTAGGTTTGTCCGGAGACCCCCTCCTCATCTTGAAGCGTTCGGAAAATGACTGAGGGACTCTTTGGGCCGTATATTAGGGGTTGAATCCAGAAAAGAGAACTGGGGGAGTTGGGGGTGGGGGTGTTTCTGCGGAGGTGGCAGAAGCACGCAGGATACCTGGGTGGGAGATGAGGGTGATGGGAGAGACGCCAGACGCTGCACACACGAATGTTCTTGTACATATGGACAAAGACAGATGGTCAGAGACGGGGCTCTGAGACCAGCGAGTCAGTCTCGTACTCTGACCCTCAGCCAGACTCTAGGGAAGGAGACAGAGACTGCAGATAAGCAGAAGGGGAGAGAGACCGAGAGAGGAGAGGAATGTCACCCCAAAAAGAAATCCAGAGAGAAGCTAGGCACTGTGGAAGCAAGGGCCAAGAGGCGCCACCAGACTTGGGTACAGCACCACCGAGGTGAAAATGGAGTCAGCACTGACTCATGCCTCTCTATCCCAACAGCAGCACAACCTCTAAGAGCCATGCTTTCTGAAGGCCTGGTCATCTAGGGAAGGAAGGGAAAGTAAAAGAGTTGAACTGGGAAGGAAATCTGGGATCCCTTCCCCCAAACTTGGCTCTCAGCCCATCCTGGGACCCTGAGTCCCCACAGGCCCAGCTGACAGAATAAAGAAGGAGGAAAGTTCTCTTAAGGGAAGGGAGTGGGAAAGGGGAGGGGTTCACTTGACTTTATTTCCCTAGGTCTGCCCCTGACTGAGGAAGAGACACTGGCAGAGCCTGGAAGCGAGACCCCAACAGTGGCCTCCGAGGCCCTGGCTGAGCTGCTCCATGGGGCCTTGCTGAGGAAAGGCCCTGAGATAGGCTACCTGCCCGGTGAGGACCCCCGAGTGGTGGAGGCAGAGGGAGAGAGTCCCGGGAGTTGGGGAGTCGGGCCAAGGGAGAGGTACCCTAAAAAGGCCATTAAAATTCAGACGGAGACAGACAGTTGGAGAGAGAGTCAGACTGGATGCAGACAGAGAAATAGAGACAGAGTGAGCAAGAGACAATCAGGCAGAACAACAGCTACTAACAGAGAAAGACAGATGGAAACTCAGAACCAGGCAGATTCTGAGAAGTAATGGTGGGAGAAAGAAAGATCCAGAGATGTGCAGAGCTACAAAATCAGAGAGATGAGCATATTCAGACAAGTCCAGTCCCAGAGAAGGCAAAGGAGAAAGATGGGTAACCAGGAGAGAGCCAGCTGTGAAAAGGAGGCTGAGAAGCTCAAGGAGACAGGATGGGAGGGGGTGAGTAACAAGTATGGCAGGGCAGGCATGAGGGTGTGGGGATCAGGCAGCTGAAGCCTTGGAAGGAGGGGAGGCAGGGAACTTGGATCTGCAGAGGACCCCAGGGATCTATACCTTATGGGGAGGGCTTTTGCTTTTAATATGGGGCCCTGTTGGTCTCCTTGTTTGGCCCTCATGTGCTCTGACTTTCTTGCACTATCCCAGGATCTGATCCAGACCCCACACTGGCCACCCCTCCAGCTGGCCAGACTCTTGCAGCGCCCTCCCTGCTGTGGGCCACGGAGCCAGGGACAGGGCCTCTGACAACTGCTGTGACTCAGAAGGGGGCCAGGGGAGCAGGCCCCACGGCCCCAGAGCTGCTGACCCCACCCCCGGGAACTATGGCCCCACCTTTGCCGGGCACCACCTCCCCCAGCCCTCAGGTTGGGCCAGAGGGAGGGGAGGAAGAGACCACCACTACAATTATCACCACCACCACTGTCACCACCACAGTGACCAGCCCGGGTGAGCTGATTCAGATGGGAAGGGAGCAGTGGCAGGGAGCAGGCATGAAGGAGAGATCTGGGATTTGAATTGGGGCTTCTGGGTACAGATGGGAGAGAAACTTCTGCATTGTCATAATAATAAAGCTACTATTTATGACCCTATGCTCTGTACCAAAGAGCCCTGGTGGTGTAGTGGGTGAGCACTCAGCTGCTGACTAAAAGGTCTGTTGCCTTAAGCCACCAGCCCTTCCGTGGGAGTTAGATGAGAAAGTCTACTTGAGTAAAGACCACAGCCTTGAGCATGCCCTGGGCCTGTTCTACTCTGTCTTGCAGCATTGCCGTAAGTCAGAATTAACTCCATGGCAATGGGTTTCGTTTTGGTTACTGAGCGCCAAGAAGTCCTGGTGGTCCAGTGGTTCAGAGCTTGGGTGCTGACTGAAGAGAGGTCTATGGTTAGAACTTAGTGGTGCCTTGGAAGGAGAGAGTAAAGGCCTGGCAATCGTTTGCAGCAACGACGACAGCCTAGGAAGTCGTGTGGGTTGTTCTACTTTGTCACATACGGTCTGTGAGACAGCATCAACTCCAGAACACACAACAAAACTATATGTCAAGATCACTGGGTGGTGCAAATGCTAATGAGTTGTGCTCAACCACAAACCTAAAAGGCTGGCTGTTCAAAGCCATCTGGCAGTACCACGGAAGAAAAATCTGGTGATCTGGTTTCTGTGAAGCTGATAGCCGTCGGGGTCCTGCTGCACTGCGGACGGGTCTAAAAGGGATCACAGTACAGGGTCCTGGATGTAATCCAAGTAAAATGTGAAACAAAACTCAAAATCGTACAAAGGACCAGACTCAATGGTCAAATACCAGACTGCCGGGACCCCAGAAGAACTTGACCTTTGGGGAGTCATTCTTTGAGTCTGAAATGAAACTCAGCTTTGTGATTTAATTTTAAACCTAAGCCCACTGTCATCCGCTTGGATTCTAGTCATAGAGAGCCCCCACTGGACTTCCAAGGCCATAAATCTTTAGGGGGTACTGCCAGCTTTCTCCCACAAAGTGGCTGGAAGACTTGAACTACTGACATTTCAGTTAGCAAGCTGATGAGCTGCATAGTAGACAGGCTCATAACCTGCAGAGCTAGTCCTTAGGAAAGCCAACTATACAAGACCAAAAGGGCAGTATTTTCCTAGGTTTAATGCTCTGAAGGCTGGACAGGATAGGCTAAGAGGATGAATGGAAAAGAGAATCACAGGGAGAAAGTGGAGAAAGTGCTGTTACAATGTGGGGATGGTAATGAACGTCACAGTCTGTGTGAAGGTTGAATGAAAAAATGATTTTGCTCTATAACCTTTCACAATAAAAAGGATTTTTTTAAAGAGGGGAGAAAGTTAAGGGGTGCATTGCAGGATGGGCTGAGGGGAGGGAGAAGAAAATGTACAATAAATAAAAATGGAAAGAAGTTATAACCAAGGAAACCCATGGAGCAGTTCTAGTTTGTGACATGTGGGGTTGCAGTGAATAAGCCTCAACTCCATGGCGCTAGGCTTGGCTTGGTTACTATGCCAGGAACCTTTCTGTATGTTTTTTTCTATATTCTGTTTGAACAAGGGGATTCTGGGCCCAGGTGTTAAAGAGAGCACTGGATGGTAATGGGAATTAGAAAGAAGGTATCTAAGGACCCCCAAAGACTGGGGGGACAGGAACCAGGCATTCTCTTGACTCCAGACCCTTGTGTCCTTTTAGTTCAGTGTAACAACAATATCTCCGAGGGTGAAGGGTATGTGGAGTCTCCAGATTTGAGGAGCACCACCAGCCACACCTTGGGGCTCCTGGACTGCACGTACAGCATCCATGTGTACCCCGGCTATGGCATTGAGATCCAGGTAACGGGAACCAAGCATCTGAAACGTCCACATCCTTTATTCTAGTAGCCAGAGAACATAGGCTGTAAGGCCACAACCCTCTCGGGGCCCATTTTCTGACTCAGATCTTCTCAAAGATCCTCCTAGAGTTCTACAATTCTCTCTAGAGTTGACTAATATCACCACAGGGTCTGGACCATCACAAATGGAAAAGGAAAGCAGGAACTCCCAGGGAGTCACCTATGATTGACTCATGCTGGTTTTCTCTAGGTGCAGATGCTGAACCTGTCCCGGGAAGAGGAATTGTTGGTGCTGGCTGGCGGGGGGTCCCCAGGTCTGGCTCCCAGACTGCTGGCCAATTCCTCCATGCTCGGAGAAGGACAAGTCCTTCGGAGTCCAACCAACCGTCTGCTCCTGCACTTCCAGAGCCCTCGGGCCCCCAGAGGCAGTGGCTTCCGGATCCACTATCAGGGTGAGGGTCTTCGTGGAAGGGCAGAGGTTCACACTGAGCAGGGGAGACAGCTCTGGGATCCCTCCAAGCATAGGGATCTGCTGGGGAAAGGGGGGGGCCTCTCCTGCTGCCTGGGTCCCTGGGAACCTGAACCCTCAAAGGAGACCTGTACGTACTTGTCTCCCCATTCTCAGAGGTGTGCACACATTCAGATAGCAGTTCATCTGTTAACTAAACCAGTCTTCATGTTTTTTTGGAGGGTGGGATGAACAGTTAGGTTGAAATCTGATTTCACAATCTAAGTAGAGAGATAAGAAATCAGGATGATCATAATTGAATGAGATAAGGATTTTATTGGAGGAAATACCAGCAAGAAGACCAAGTATCAAAGAAATTTCAATTTCCTGTGGTAAAGATAGAGACACCTTCTTGGAGGAAATGTGTCGGTGAGTGTAAAGGGTGAGTTAGTCAGGTGAAGAGAAGAAGGCAGGCAGGTATCTAGGTGGGTGAAAAAGTACATTCTAAGGCTCAGGGTGGAGAGAAGGTGTAACTTTTTTCTCCCCCCCCTTTTTTTTCTTATTAACTTTAAGTTTTCAGAGACTTAGGGTTTCCATTCATTCATTGTTGCACTTTTCTCCCTGCCCACCTTTCCCCTCCAGTTCGCTCTTCTCTTTGAAAAGTAAAAGAAGAATTCTTTTATTGTTATACAATCCCTCTCCCCAAGTCCACTCCACTATGTAGCCTTCGTTCTAGACTCCTGTCATGACAATAATACCTAATCATATATCCCTTTTAAACAGTTCTCTCCCTCATCTGTTTCAATGCAGTATACATAATTTATCATATCTTTCTCAGTCTCCTCCTGAATCCCGATGTCAGTCTGTTTTACAGCAGTGGCACTATGCAGTATTTGTCCTTTTGTGACTGAGATATTTCACTCAGCATAATGTCCTCCAGGGTCACCCATTTTGAATAATGTTTCATGAGTTCTTTGTTTTTCAGTGCAACATAGTATTTATTCCACTGTGTGAATGTACCAGAGCTTCTCTATCTATTCGTTTGTTGATGGGCACTTGTTTCCAACTCTTTGCTATTGTGAACAAAGCCGTGATAAACATGGGTGTGCATGTATCTGCTTGGGTGGTGGTTATGGTCTCTTTGGAGAAGATGTGACTTCTTGAGGAGTTAAAGTAATTCAGCAGGGAAGAAAAAAAGAATTATCCTATCTGTGTATCCTCTGTGCCCGACAATCTCTTCTGACAGGGATCAAAATGCCAATCTCACAGCACTCTTGGAAAGATCATGAGTTCATGCGTCCCAAGTGCTCAAAACAGTGGCTGGTCCACAGTGAGAATCCAGAACGTGATTATTGCTCTCATAGTACAAGCACAGAGTGTAGGGGCTGCAGGGGGAGAGAAGTGGGCTGAGAGCAGGCTGGGACGTGGGCTCGCTTTAGCTCATAGAGGACCTTCTGAGCTTCAACAAGTTCAAACTGCTTTATCTGGCAGGTGAGGGGGAAGCATTTGTAAATGTTTTAAGCCTTCAGAGAGTGACACTTCTGCGAGCTGGGGGTGGAATCCATCCATGCATGCCTACATTCATGGGCGCTCAGGTGTCACCCCAGGTGACATAGGTGCATGTGCATTCATACTCACACGAGGGTTCAGGAACCTTCCATCGTGCAAATATGTGTTCTAGCATACATGGTGCGGAAACAAAGATCCTGGCCCACTGTCCTTTCATCCTGTGTCTCTTCAGAAACGGAAGGAGCTGCATGTTGGTCAATTCCTGTGTCACCTCATGACCTTCCCTGGTTTCATGTCCCCTGCCCCCGTGATCTCTTTCCCATCATCCCTTGCGGACCTTATCCAGACAGAACTTGTGTCTCTTTTTTCGTGTTGCCACCCCTGGCATCTCTCATCTGCTTCTCCTGGGGCTCAGAAGCCCGAGGGCTCAAGTACACAAAGGTGGGGTACCCAACACTTGGCCGATTAGTAGAAACAAGTGAGCTAAGGGCATGTACTTGGTGGCAATTGGGCCTGGTTGGTGGAGCACTCAGGCCGACCCTGGGGCCCAGCGCCAAGTGCTGGGCTTTGGATATAGCAAAATGGCTCTGCACTGTGTTCTTTAAGCAGCTGTTTCCCCAGGGTATTTAAAATAGGACTCTGAGGCTAAGTGGAACATTTGGGGAAGCAGGGCTGTTGCATAAATTGGCCTTCATTACCTGCCTCAGTTTTCACTGCTCCACAGCTACACTAGGCACCCGTGGGGCCAGAGTCCAACCTGCGCTAATCGGAGCCCCCTGGGTCAGAGCAGTTACAAAGGATCTGTCTCCCCCCAGCCCCCCAAGCCAAGGTCCACAGATGGTCCCATTTACAGAGCCTTTCACCACCCATTCATTCACTTCTCACAGCAACCCTGGGGGATGGCTGTTGTTAGCTTCAGCTCCCAGAGGCAGGAAAGGACTCAGAGGTCATGCGAGTTGTGCAGCCACGTGAAAACTCACTGCAGAGTTAGATGCCAGAGCCTGGAGTTCCTGCTTCCCAATCAGTCGTTCACGGAGGCCGCTCACCAGCACTTTTTTGAGCAGCTTTTCTATCCCAGGTGCTTTGTGTGTTGTTGGCTTTTAGTTGCTGCTGTTTGGGTTTTTAATTTAACTTTCTTAATTCTCAGAGGTATGAGTTATTATTGCCACTTCCAGGTGAGTGGCCCCTAGAGGTGCACCTGCTCAGAGTCATTTAGCTAATAAATTGTGGTGCTGGGACTGGAGCTCTACCATTCCGCACGGGCTGCTGACATCAGTCCACTGGACTTTTAGAAGTCTAGGGAAGGAACTGTTTTAATAAGGCTTGGTTCAGTCCCATAGGAGCAGCAAGAGACAAGGGTTAACATAATGATTAAATTCTGCATGCAGGACTGTGTACAATGGGAATGTCAGGAAGGCTTCTGGGAAGAGGGCATCCTAAGATTACTCCCTGAAGGCAGAGGAAAGGGGAGAAGAGGGCCTTTTACGTGGGGACAATGATGTGAGCAAGAGCATGGAGGTGGGGTCTGAAGGAATTAGGAAATCGTGTAGGACGGACAGGTTGGAAGTGCTGAGAACCAAATCGGGGTGTTGCTGGATTGGGCTCCACTGGGGAGAGTCTGGAATATCATTCTACAGCATTTGAACTTGTTTCTATGGGCCACCAAGAATCATTACAGAGATGATGCAAATCATTGTGTTCTAGGTTGGTTTTGAATCTGTCTACCTTAGTAAACCCTGAATCTTTTGCATCTCTGTCCCACTTACCCACGCAGGATGTGCTTGTTGAGTTACAAAGTTTGAAGAGACAGTGGGTCAGGTCTCTCAGAATTCCTCAGAGCTGGAGAGTTTGAGAATGCAAAGGTCCAGGCGAGGTGGTACCTCACCCACGCCGTCTGCTAAGCCAAGCGTGCCTTTTTCCTTCAAGTCCCGGCTTTGGTGCACCTCCTCCAGAAAGTCCTTCTTGATGAGCTCTGCCTCATTCTGAATCAGATATAAAGCTCAGTCAGGACCAAGTCCAGAGCCCCACATTCACTGCCAAGTCACTATTTATTCATGTGTTTGTTTTCTCCCATTGGTTACCTAATAAAGGTGTTAGAAGGCTCACAAAAACAACGCGCACAATATAACTATGTTGCTGTCGTGTACCACTGAGCCAGAACTGACCCATGGCTGACCCTCCAGTGGATTTTCAGAGGCAATTAGTCACACGGGAGTAGATTGCCCATCTTTTTCCCACAGAGCAGCTGGTGGATTTGAACTGTATGCCTTCAAGATTGCAGCGCAGCTCCTCACCATTAGGCCATCAGTGCTCCCTATACAGCTTAGAGCCTAGACAAAATCATGGGCCCCAGCGGTTGTACCAGCCACAGCTGCTCGAGACTAGCTATAATCAGTGCTTCCTGGCAGCCAGTGCGAAAAGGGAGGCTACCCACGTGCCACTCATGAAAAGAAAGGAGAAAATAAACCCGCTCCTCAGGGGAAGCCAGGCCTTCCTTAGCACTTAACTCTCACCAGGAGCACGGAGTATTAAGCGCTTTCGGGCCCAGAATAGTCCACGTTCCCGTGAGGCTGCTCTGGATGAGAGCTGAGGCCTGAACGCTGCAGTGCCCCTCGGTGGAGGAAGGCCTGCGTGTGTGGAGGGGAGAAGATGGCATAAGGCGCGTCGTTACTTAGCACCTCATTTTCTGCATCTAGAAAATGACTCACAGAGTCTTTCTCTGCCTACCTCCAAAACACTGAATGAACTCACTCTGGAAGTAGAATCAACTCTCCAGATATCATATTGTTATTATTACAGCTAGACAGACTTCGATGCTCAGTTGATTTCTGTGACTATACAGCAGATGAGTGCCGGGATCTGGAATAACTCCTCTGAGCCTTGGGATCCTCATCTGAGAAATGGAGACGAAAGTGGGTAGATGGCAAAGACCAGGAGAGAGAAGGGACGTTGGCAGCCTCTGTGGGAGAGGAGTTGGGCCCATATGCAAAGCCCTTCTTCTTCACCTGGCCCCCAGTGTAAAGTTAGTGTTTGCCCCTGGATTCGTACAGGAGGGGAGCAAGCGCTCCAGGGCTTGGTGGGAGGGGGTGCCTGGAGGCCTCAGTCCTTCTTCTCCCTCCTCTGCCTCGTCCAGCCTACCTCCTGAGCTGTGGCTTCCCTCCCCGGCCAGCCCACGGGGACGTGAGCGTGACGGACCTGCACTCGGGAGGCACCGCCACCTTCCACTGTGACTCGGGCTACCAGCTGCAGGGCGAGGAGACCCTCGTCTGCCTCAACGGCACTCGGCCAGCCTGGAGCAGTGAACCACCTAGCTGCATGGGTGAGTCTCCTGCCACCGCGCATGGATGCTTCCACTCCAGATACCCTCTCAGAAGAATGCTGTCTTGGGGGATCTTCAGCTTTGGGGAGAATTCATCTTGAAGGGTTTCTTCCCTAAAGAGTCCCTGTCCTCGGGTCTCCTTTGGAATCTCTTTATACTGGAGCCCCCTCTGTCCTCAGGAATTCTCCTAAGATGGCCCAGCTGGAGTTTGCATTCTGAGCCTCACCATTAGGAGGTGACGTCCCTTCACTAGGGCCAATGTCATCCTACGAGGAACCTTCCTCAGTTTCATAAGGTAGAGGGTCTCCATTCTGGGGATCCCGCCTGTGGAGCCTTCGGCCCAGAGTCCCTGTCTCCGGAAGGCTCTGTCCTGAGTCCTTCCGTTCTGGGCATCCTTATTACTGGATCTCCATCACAGATCCGAGCCATGCTGTCTTCATCCCAGGCTGTTGCTACCTGCAGGATCACAATCCTGGGGATACCCATTCCAGGGGCATCCATCTTGGAGCTTTTCTATTCCAGATGTGGACCCCCTGCCGAAGGGGCAAACCTGTGGGGCAGAGGCCACTCCTGGGCCAGGCCCTGACCAAGGTTGTGGTTACAAAATCTCTGGGAAGGGCTGAGGGGCCGAGGAGAAGGACAAGTGACCCCAGACTTAAACTGTACCTTCTGCCAACAGCCTCCTGTGGCGGCACCATCCACAATGCTACCCTGGGCCGCATCGTGTCCCCTGAGCCTGGGGGAGCAGCGGGACCCAACCTCACCTGCCGCTGGGTCATTGAAGCAGCTGAGGGACGCCGGCTGCACCTGCACTTCGAAAGGGTCTCGCTCGATGAGGACAATGACCGGTGAGGGTTTGGGTCACAGGGCCACGGGGAGGTGACAGTGATGGCAGACAGACGTGGGCTAGACCCCAGCAGGAAGCCTTAGTGACGTCATTTAACCTGTCCCTTGTCTCTCTCTGTAGAACGGAGATAATAATAGTACCTTCTTCTTAAGGTTTCTGTGGGCGTGAATGAATTAAGATACGTAAAGTGTTTAGAATGATGCCTGGCGCATAGTGGACTCTGTGTGAGCCCTTCCGCCACTAGCGGTGTTGTTATTCTTCATCTGACAAACTCTAATCCCAGATCTGCCGCTGCTTGTTATGTGATCTTTCTGTGCAAGTTACCTATCTTTCTGTGCCGCAGTTTTGTCATCTCTAAAATGAGGCACATTAGAATCTGCCTCCAAAGGTTCTTGTGAGAATTGCATGAGACAAAATGCACAAAGGGCTCTGTAAAAGGGCATGGCTCTCATTAATATCTCCCTGTCCCAGGCTGATGGTGCGCTCAGGAGGTGGGCCCTTATCCCCGGTCATCTATGACTCAGACATGGACGATGTCCCAGAACGGGGGCTCATCAGCGACGCCCAGTCCCTCTACGTGGAGCTTCTCTCAGAGACACCTGCCAACCCCCTGCTGCTGAGCCTGCGATATGAAGGTACTATCCCTTTCCTCCCAGCCAGCAGAGATGCAGTCAGGTGGGCAAAAACACAAATGCATGCTCCATCATTCCTCATCTGGCTTTGAAACTCTGAAAAGTGACTTGTACCCTCGCCCCAAAACTGCAGAGATCACTTCCAATTCCCGAAAGTGGCCTTCAGTATTACGCTTCAGGTACGGCTTGATCCAGACACGCCATTAGAAAGCCGGTTAGCTCTGTCTCTCCATTCTTTGCTTTGTGTTGACTACTTCTCAGGCAGGTGCTCATAGAGAGAGAAACCTCATCTTTTTCCAAAGAGCTTCAGCAAAGATACTGGCGTGGATTTTCACTGGCCTGGTTTGGGTCATGTACCTGTGTCTGAGGCAACACCATAGGGAGGAGCAGGTGCTGTCCTAACTGACATGGTCATACGTGATGTGTCTCCCAACAGGAAAACAGATATTATTACCAAAAGAGGGGGGATGAGATGCAGGCAGATAGAAACTACAGCCATGTGCTGTGGATATTATAAGCTAAACTAAAGGCAGCTTGGGGACAGGATGAAGAGAGCTTGTTCAGAGGAGGTATAAGGAGTTTCCTTCTAGGAGGTCCGTGATCATGTGAGAAGAGGCATTTGAGCCAAGTCTTAAAGGACAGAGAGTCTTTTAAAAGGAGATTGAGGAGAGCATCCCAGCCGGGGTAAAAACAAACAACCTGACAGCCAGTGTGAGCCAAGGTGAGGAGCTGTAGAAAAGCCTAGAGTAACTCAGGAAACAGGTCTGCCTGTGGCCTGAGCAGAGGACTTGTGCCAACAGTAGCAGGCGAGAAAGCAAAGCAGAGATGGAGAGAAGAGAAGGGCTAGTTTCTGTGATGAGTCAGCAGAGGAATCGGCACTAGGCCCCGAGGAATGGGTAGCATTTTGACATGACTGACACTCTATCGGGTAAGGTAGTAGTGAAAGAAGGTAGTGGATTTACAAAATTGGGTTGGCTGAGAGCTCTGAGAGTGCGCCAGCACGGCCCTGGTCCCAGTGAATGAGATCCGACAGTCCTGCCCGGTCACGTGGGGCCTGTGCTTTTCTCTGTATTTCCAATTCCTCATCTGTAGCATCGGCCCCTAAGTCTTGGTTTGTAGATAGTTTTGCAGCTAAGATGTGGTCAAGTGGGTCAAAATGAAAATGTCCTACAGTGTTCATTTTGGTTGGCTTTAATCCCAAGTCAACACTGGGAAGCTTTGAAATGAGCTGTCATTTTTGGATCCTCGCAGCAGCAGGATGGGTAACCAGGGAGGGTCAGAATGCATTGGTGTTTGAGCACATACCTACACAAGCCAGTTCTCCAGAGGCACCTCTTCCCCTACATCACAGTCTCCAGAACCAAGTCTCTGTGGCTGGAAATGAAGCGGTCTGGGTTGCAGACCTGGATCTGTCACGACTCAGCTGGCCAAGTGCCTTTCTTGTCTGTGGATTCAGTTGTTTCTGTTCAGAATAGTAAATGGGATAGGACTAGCCTAGGGGCTTCCCCCCCCACCCCAGAGACCAAGAAAGTAGAATAAATGTGTGAATGAAGAGTGTAAGGGGGGTGTGTGTGTGTGTGTGTGTGTATGTATGTAAAATAAAGAGTGAAAGTTAAGCCCAAAGGCAATAAATGTTTAAAAAGCCCATTGAGTGGCCAAGCCGCGCCCGAGGCTCCAGTTTGAGGTCTCTGGAGACCCATCCTATTGCTTAGCTTCTGTGACTGACTCCTCTCTAGCCTTTGAGGAAGATCGCTGCTTTGCTCCCTTCCTGGCACATGGAAATGTCACCACCACGGACCCTGACTATCGCCCGGGGGCGCTGGCCACCTTCTCGTGCCTCCCCGGATATGCCCTGGAGCCCCCAGGACCCCCAAATGCCATCGAATGTGTGGATCCCACAGAACCCCACTGGAATGATACAGAGCCAGCCTGCAAGGGTGAGCCTTCATCCCCCAAGGAATCTTTCAGACAGAAACTGACTAGTCCTTGAATGGGGAGTTCAGAGTAGGGACCTCCCTGTCCATCTCTTGGGTCAATTCTGTCCCATTCAGGGCTTCTAACAGTCTCTAAGCTGTCAAATTATTGGTAGGCTTGGTACAGACGTTAGCAGACACAAACCCAAATGCCTGCACAGCCGTGCTGGAGTGGGGCTGTCATGGGTGGCCTGATGGTTAGGCTGGCAGTGGGCAGGGCTCTTAAAAGCAGGGCTAGGGATCGAGACCTGGTGGTTTAGTGAGAAGGAGTTATGCTGCCAACCCAAAGGCAGGTAGTTTGAATCCACCAGGTTCTCCACAGGAGACAGATGGGCAGTCTTCTCCTATGCAATTTACAGATTCTGAAAACCCACTGGAGGGTCAGCTGTCAGTTGGTAGCTAGAAGCAGGTGGGTAATAGCTAGGGCAGCGTGAAGAAGACTGGCACGAACAGGAGTGGGAAGGACTTGTGAAATGGGTGGCCACCTGGATTCTGAACCTGACCCCCCTTCTGCAGCCATGTGTGGTGGGGAGCTGTCCGAGCCCGCCGGTGTGGTCCTGTCTCCGGACTGGCCCCAGAGCTACAGCCCCGGCCAGGACTGCGTGTGGGGCCTGCACGTCCAGGAAGAGAAGCGCATCCTGCTCCAAGTTGAGATGTACGTGTGTGTCCTGCAGGGGGAGCCGTGGGTGCAGGATCGGTTAAGTGGGATGTTGACCAGTCTGCCTTCTGAGCCCAGCTGGTCATCATCACAACAATCTGTGAATATGTGGTGTCAGGAAAGAGGGGGACAAGGGTCCAGGGTGGAAGGAGGGGTCGACCCAGGTCTAAAACGCTTGTTTTGAACAAGTGTTTTTGAACAAGGGGTGACCTTGGACCAGGAAATGACCAGGCCGCCTTTCTCAGGAGCTTTTGTGAGAAGGGGTTGTGACCCTCTGGGATTCCCGAGGGGTCCAGCACCCACCTACCCTTGGGGAAGGGAAGAGTCCTTTGGGTTGATTTGACAGGAAGTGGTCATGTGACTAGAGTAACGAGGGGGAGTGGGCGTGGCCAAAGAGTGTGTGTGTGTGTGTGTGTGTGTGTGTGTGTGTGTGTGTGTGTGTGTGTGTGTGTGTGTGTGTGTGTGTGTGTGTGTGATGGCTGTAAAGAGCCAGTGACGATCCAAAGGCGACCAATCAGAGGAGGAGGAGGCGGCCAATCAGCCGAGGGGGAGAAGGATGCGAGAGTGGGAAGGCCTGGTGATGAGCAGGGTTGGGGACCCGGCATCTAGAACTGGGAGGGACTGACAGACATGAGAAACCCATGATGGGTCAAGTCCGAGGCGGGCCAGACCAGGCTAGTAGTGGGAGGGCTGGGTATTGAACAGGAAATTGATTAGGCAGAATCTAAGAGGTCGAGAGCTGGTGGTAGCCCCCCACCTGTATGTGGCTCCACTCCCTGCAGCTTGAATGTGCGCGAAGGGGACATGCTGACGCTCTTTGATGGGGACGGCCCCAGCGCCCGAGTCCTGGCTCAACTACGGGGACCTCAGCCACGCCGTCGCCTCCTTTCCTCCGGACCTGACCTCACACTACAGTTCCAGGCACCGCCTGGGCCCCCCAACCCGGGCCTGGGCCAGGGCTTCGTGCTGCACTTCAAAGGTACTGACTGGGGCGAAGGTTCCTGAGAGGGGCTGAGCAGGCGCCCTGCAGGAGGCCTGGGTGCCTGGAAGGTAGGCCACCATGCCAAAGTCACCACCTTTCCCATGCAGAGGTCCCGAGGAATGACACCTGCCCCGAGCTGCCACCACCAGAGTGGGGCTGGAGGACAGCATCCCATGGGGACCTGATCCGGGGCACGGTGCTCACTTACCAGTGCGAACCTGGCTATGAGCTGCTTGGCTCCGACATCCTCACCTGTCAGTGGGACCTGTCCTGGAGCGCACCACCACCTGCCTGCCAAAAGAGTGAGCCTGCCACCTCCGTCCCCCGGGGCCAGCCTCCATCCACCCTGTCCTTTTCTACCCCTGCCCTCCTCCTGTCTGGCTTCCAACACTTCTCTCTGAATCCTCTTTGGGGCTTCTTTAGGTTCTGCCCTTTGCCCTTTGGGTATCCTGAGCCTTTCCAACTCTGTGACTCACCACTGTCCCCTCTGAGTCCCCACTCTCATCTTCCTGGGCTGCATCCCTCGCTTCCATGTTTGAGGTTCTGCTCAGTTTCCTCTGTGGCCCACGCATTACTTCGTGGCCCCAGCCCCTTCCCACCTCATACACCCCACTGAACATACCCCTCACTCAGCTCATGGTTCTGCATTTTCATTCCAGACCCAGGCCCCAGTCACTCCTCCCAGACCTTGACATTCTTAGCAGTCGTGTCTACACTTGGAGCTGTGTGACCTTTCTCACCGTCCTTTACTGAGCTGTTCCCCCCTTAAGATAAACTCTTTGCCTCCCTAAAGTTCCCATCTGCAGGATTATAGACAATTTGACCCTATGCTGAAGCAGACATTCTTAACTAGTTAGAGTAAACAATCATTTAGTTTTCAAGACTTCAGGAAATATTTTTGGTGTAAGGTTTAAGGTGTAAGGTTAATTTAGGTCAACAATTTCAGGGGGTCATCAGCCATGGAGTAGGTCCAACAAATCTGGGTCCTGTGACAATTTGAAATTATTCCTTACAGTTTCCCCCCTTTTGATCTGTATTCTTCCATAGAACCTTGTATACTTGAGAACTTATTTTGAGGCAGTCATTGAAGCTCTAGCTGAGTTGGGATTACATGAAGGAGTTCAGACCCCTCTAGTTTGATTGAATTTACTTTCTGTGAGGGGGGCACATACCTACAGAGAGTAGTAGTAACTGGTGGATGACTTCAAGCAAGATGCTGAACATCTCGGAGACTTGCTGATAAAGCAGGAATGGGAATTGTGAGGAACGAATGAAAAACTTGTACTGCATGTAAACAGTAAATGGTAGTTGCTATAAGTTCACCAAGGGAACTTTGGTGGCCTAGTAGGTTAAGAGTTGTGTTACCAACTCAAAGGCAGGAGGTTCAAATCCACCAGTAGCTTCTTGGAAGGAAGATGGGCAAGCAGCCATACAATTCACAACCTCTGAAAATCTGCTGGAGGGCAGCTAGGAGTGAGTTGGTTCCAACTTGATGGTGCATAACAACAAAGAAATATGCATTTGGCAAAGGAGTATAGGAAGAGGAATGACTTTATTCTCTTAACGGCAGATTTCCTGGAGGAAGTGGCATTTGAAAGTACTGGGAGTATTTGTCTTTTAGAAGAGCAGAAAGCTGTGGCATCGTGTGGTTTTCTCCAAATTTCAGAAACCCGAGCACAGAGATGTGGGGCTGTCAGTCTCCCATGTGGCCCTGTGAGGCGAGGGAGGAGAAATGACAAGCCTGATTTTTGGATTATAATTTTGTGAGTGACACTGGCAAAAGTGCTGAGCTCCCTGTTCACCGAGGGATGCACAGGATGTGAGGCCTAATGAGAGTTCAGCCAGCGCAGAGGAGGAAGCAAGCTCACGGGCAGGAAGGAGCCTGCCCCAGGTGGCACATTAAACCTGAAGCCAAATTGAGCCCAAGCCAGCTGGATCTCAGTCCAGTTTCTGTGGCCATGACCCTGAGCAGGACCCAGACCCCTGTGCTCTCTGGCTCTGTGTGATTTCTGGCCTGTCATTGACCGCTGTGAGAGGGAGATGATAGTGACACTGCTCTTTTGGGGTCATAAAGGTTAAATGATCATGTCTGTAAAATGCTTGGCAGAAACAAAAATGGCTATGATTATATCCCATGGACTGTCAAAATATCAAGCAGATAATGTCATGGAAAAGGTGCAGCCACAGTTCTCATTGGAGGCAAAGATGAAGCTTCACCTCACATGTGCTGGGCATGTGGCTAAAAGAGGCTATTCCTTGGAGAGGGACATCATTCTTGGGAAGGTGGAGTGTCAGCAAAATAGAAGAGCCTTGATCAGGTGGACGGACACAGTGACTGCAGCAATGGGCTCAAGCATATCAGAGATGGTGAAGACGGCACAGGATGTGACAGGGTTCAGATCTGCTGTCTCTATGACCAACATACTTCACTCAGCAGCACCTAACATCATGACTGACACAGAGGAGGTGTAAAGTGACCAAAGTGACTGAGCGTGATAGGAATGCATTGTGTCCCCTCTAAAGAGGACAACTGCAGTTCTGTCCCAGACCATTTGCCAGGGAGGGCAGTCACTGTTTAGCTGGGACGCTCTGTGCAGCTTGAATATTTCTCTGGAATGGGGGCCTATGGTTGCCCCAAGCATCTCATTTTCCAAAAGAAGTCTGAAATAGAAAACATACTGAATTTTCTCTCTCCAACTCCTGCTCTCTTCATTCTGAGTTGGGGGTGGGATGGAGGTGGGATGGCCCAGGGCTCTTAGCTTCTGGGTCACCTTTTGAGTGAACTTGTCCCCCTGCCCACAGTCATGACCTGTGCTGACCCTGGGGAGATCACGAACGGGCACCGCACCGCCTCAGACGCCGGCTTCCCTGTGGGCTCACATGTCCAGTACCGCTGTCTGCCAGGATACAGCCTGGAGGGGGCGGCCGTACTCACCTGCTACAGCCGGGACACAGGCACGCCCAAGTGGAGCGACCGGGTCCCCAAGTGCGCCTGTGAGTCCGAGGGACACATCGTGAAGGAGGGAAGGGTGGTGGTCATGGGTGGACCCTGCCTGCCGCCTGTTGGACCTGCTCCATCATGGTGGTATTAGGTGCTGGCAAGTCCAGTTCAAGTCCTAGCAATCCTAAGAACAACCGTTCTGAACCCTGTCCTATCCTGTGTCGTCTCACAATCCCTGGCACACTTCAGCCCACTGCTGCAGTGATGTGCCAGTCAGTTTGTTGAGGGTCTTCCCTCCACCTTTCCAAGCATGATGTCGCTCTGCAGAGAATGGCCTCTCCTAGCAACATGCCCCAAGTATGTGAGACGAAGCTTCATCTTTGCCTCCAAGGTGTAGCCGACCCATAATGAACACTTTCCCTGCAGTGAAGTACGAGCCGTGCCTGAACCCTGGTGTCCCTGAGAATGGCTACCAGACCCTATACAAACATCACTACCAGGCGGGCGAGTCCCTTCGCTTCTTCTGCTACGAGGGCTTCGAGCTCATCGGCGAGGTCACCATCACCTGTGTGCCTGGTCACCCTTCGCTGTGGACCAGCCAGCCCCCTCTCTGCAAAGGTGCCTGGTAGACAGAGCTGGAGGCAGGAGGGGCACTTCAGTGTTGGGGACCTAACAGGCCCAGGGAAAGCAGGTAGCAGGTTTCAGACCAACGGGCGACCCTCCAGAGTGCCCCGTTCACCTCGTGTGATGTGCCCAGAAGTCCTAAGGAGATTCAGCATCATAGAATTAGGTGAAGGGATGCAAGAGAGGGGCCTTGGTCTGGAAGTCCCCTGCCCTCTCTGCATAAACCGTGTTTCTCTGTCTATGATAAAGTCCGAGACCTGATTGGCTCAGACTCTCCAGGACCCCTCAACTTTTAGGGGTCCAAAGATGAAGGTAGAAGGCCCTGCTCTGGTCTCTCCCCTGCCTCGCCCCACTGAGGGAAGGAGAAAGTTTAGGTTGAGCGGAGGGTAGTGAGAGGCAGGCCCTCTAGCCCAGCCCCACCGGGCTCCGGGCCCTCCACCCAGCCCCCTTCCCCTCCTGGCTCAGACCCCATCCCCTCCCCTCCCTCCTCTCCCTGCAGTGGCCTATGAGGAACTCCTGGACAGCCGAAAGCTGGAAGGTCAGTGAAGGCACAGGTGGAGATCCAGGCCCTGGCCAGGTCGGGAGGGTGAGGCAGAGGCTGGGGGTAGGAGGTCAGGCCCCGGAGGGGTGAGGCCCACGGATCAGGATCTGGACAACCATGGCTCATTGACCTCTCCTCCTCCCTGCAGTGACCCAGACCACAGACCCATCACGGCAGCTGGAGGGTGGGAACCTGGCCTTGGCCATCCTGCTCCCCCTGGGCTTGGTCATTGTCCTCGGCAGCGGCGTTTACATATACTACACCAAGTGAGTACCGCGCGGGCGGGAGGGCAGCTGGTTGGCACTGACCCCTGCCCGGCCCAGGAGCCTACGGGTGAGAGGCCTCCTGGGCTCACCTGCTGACCAGCCCACTCTCCTCCCACCTTTGCCAGGCTGCAGGGAAAATCCCTCTTCGGCTTCTCGGGCTCCCACTCCTACAGCCCCATCACCGTGGAGTCAGACTTCAGCAACCCGTTATACGAAGCTGGGGTGAGCCCCTACCCTGCCCCTGGGGCACGACAACTCTTACCTCCAGGACCCCATAACTTCCTCTCAGGGGGATGTCTGTAAATCTGTGTCTTGGGAATTTCAGACTCAGCTGATTGAAAATGCTGTCTGTGAGCAAAGCAAGTTAGGGGCGGGAGGGCTACCAATCCAGGACCTTATCTAAAGGCTAAGGTGCTCTGGTGGCTTAATGGTATGGAGTTGCACTGGCTACCCAAAGGTATGTGGTTTGAATCCACCAGCTGCTCTGAGAGAGAAAGATGGGAAATCCCACATGCAATGAACTGCCTCTGAAAACCTGCTAGAGGGCCCAGTCTCAGTGGTTCCAACTCGATGGCACATAACATTCAAAGTCGGCTGTAGCCCTTTGTTGTTAAGTGGAAGGCCCAGCTGCCACAATGGCCAGGATTTAGAATTTTTATTCAAGACTACAGAACAAAGCAAACCAATGCACAGGGCAGAGGCAATCCCCCACCATGACTCTGACCTCCAGCCAGCAGTGCTGGCTGCGTCTCTGGCTCCTTCTGGATGCTTTTCATCCTGCCGCCTCCATCCCCATCTCACTCCAGTAACTGGTCCCACCTCTCTTGCCTCCAGGATACACGGGAGTATGAAGTTTCCATCTGAACCCCAAGACAGAGAGAGGCTGCAGGACCCAGGACGCCCCTCCTTCCTCATCCTGAGCAGGGGAGAGTCCAGGGCCTGAGCCCCCAGGCTCCTGGCCCTCCTCCTCTCTGCTGTGTAAATAGTCTCCCAGTCCCACGAGGGGGCTCTGATGGCCCTGGGACCCTACAGTAAATAAACCAGCACCCTGCCGCCCACCGCCGCCGCCTCCTCTCAGTTGCCAACAAGGGTCTTGCCCTATGCTGTGTGCCCAGTGCTGGCTTCTGGACCCTGGGAGGGGACCTCAGCCCCGGCTGCAACTCCTGGGGTGCCTGTAGCCCAGGGCACCCCAGAAAGACTGCCCCTCCACCTGATAGCGCTACAGTTCCTTTGGTCACTCCCTGATGCCCTGGCCCCTGGGCCTTGTGGGGTCAGAAGACCAGGATGAAGGGGAGGGCTGGGACAAGCCCCTGCCATGTTCCTGTGGTCTCCCCCACCCCACAATCTCCCCATCTTTGCTTCTGGATTTTTGGTTTTGAGCAATAAACAGAAAATCACCATTTGTAACTGGGCTAGTGGGGTGTGGGGAGGCAGAGGACAGTGTATGGACGGTGACAGGGGCTTTCCTTGGGGAAAGAACAGTTTGGGGAAAGGGTAGCAATCTAAAACCAGACACAGCATGGTAGTAAGGGGGCTGGCCGAGGGTCCCCAAGTCCGGCCTTCATTTCAGCCTCCATGAGGAACTGGCTGGCACAAGCTGCTCTCTGCACCTCAGCTGCCTTCGACAGGACTTGACGGGCTAGCAATGGGCCCGTCCAGCTAGAAGACAGCTGACAGCAGTTCCTTCTCCCTCTCACTCTGTGGCAGGAAGCAGCAGCCCTGCCTGTGTCCCCTGACCACTTACCCAAAATTCAACCCTCTTTTGAAAATTAAAGTGTACCTTCCCCTCCCCCTCATGTATTTTGGCATTTGAAGCATATCTACTGTTACATTTCTACCAAATATTGTGCAGATTTGCGGCATTTCATAAACAATTGCCTTGTTTTGTGCCCTGTGGGTGTCCTTTTCTACTTGACAGCTTGATAGTCTATTTCTCTAAAGAACCTTTCCTCGAATGACCTGGATATTGTTTAATGTGGTAGGAAGTATTTCCAGAAACATGAGGTCCCAGAGGTTGAAGGCCCCTCAGGGTGGGTGGCAGTGGAGGCCCCTCAGATGCAAGTATAGACCCTTCCAGATCCCTGGGGTCTGCCCCCTAAGGTATGGGGAGTTTGCTGGGAGACTGGGGTTTGGATGCAAGAGCTTGCTAATCTGTCTTCACCCAGCAAAAGAAAGGTATTCTCTCTCCTGTCCTGTGGGGCTGCTTTCCAGAGAAGCCACACAGAGAACTGGCCGTGTTGTGGGGAGGAGAGGATCCCTCTTTATTAAAGTCTCCGATTCCTGATGGTGCCCTCACTGGCTGACCGTGGAGATACACGCATAATGGTTGTGCTTTACTCTGGAGGCTTCAGAGTTGGTGCTGCAGAGCCAGGAGTCCCCCAGAACTGAGGCGGTTAGTGAGTTGTGAAGGAGGAGCTTTGAGACATCTTCTAGAGGGACAAATGGGGGAGGACATGAGGCCAAGAGCAACCTCAAAGAGAGCTTGGGTTCATCCTCCGGATGTCAAGGTGCTAGGCAGAGCTCTCTGGAAAAGAAGATTGTCGGCTTAGACCCAAGATTCATGTCTATCCTCCAGCCTTTACTCAGCTAGCCAGCCTCTATCCACTAACTATCCATCTACCCACCCACCTTTCCCTGTCCACCCATCCACTCATCTCTCCATCTCCCTCCCATTCTTTCCACCAATCTGATCCCTCGACCCATTTATTCACCTTGCTCCTACTTCCCTTCAACATCATCTGGTTATTCTGGGCTCAGGGTGGTGGACGTTTCATATGGTCCATGCGTCTTTTAGACTAAGGTTCCTGTGCATCTTTGCTTTCCTTTCTCCTTTGCTCCAGATAGGAAGACAGTAGAAGCTGTGCCTTCAACAGTTGTTTGCAAGCTTTTAAGGCCTCCGTCACTACTGGCCAATGTCAGATGTAGACCAATGTCTTTGTAGCCTATGTTACACCAGTTAACTTTGGTGTCCCCGAGTCTATAATCCCTCTGGGGGTGTGGTTCTGATTATGAGTTGACATAACTTTGTCCTCTGTTGGTGCTGCATATATACATGGATGTACTTACAGCATACACTACACTAATAATTTCTAGAAATAATAATATGATTATAGAAATAGCACCTGCAAAAATCTATGTATGGTTATGGGAGTAGCAATCTCTTTAACTTGCCCATATCTGTTGTTGTTAGGTGCTATTGAGTTGAGTACAACTCATAACGACCCTATGAATAACAGACTTGAACCCTACCCTATCCTGTGCTGCTCTCCCATCATCTCTGACACACTGGAGCCCTTTGCTGCACTCACTTCTGTCTGTCCATCGGGTTGAGGGTCTTCCTCTCTTTTGCTGACCTTCCACGTTTTCAAACATGACGTCCCTTCCAATGTATAGTATCTCCTAGCAACGTGCCCACAGTATGAGAGACAAAGTTTTGCCATCCTTGCCTCCAAAGAACATTCTGGCTGCACATTTTCCAAGACACATCTGTTCTTTTGGCAGTCCATGGGATATTCAGTACTCTTCTCCAGCCCAACTCAAAGGCATCAGTTCTTCTAATATCTTTATTCATTGTCCAACCCTCAGATGCATAACAAGTGAATGAAACGGCCTGAATAATTTTAAAATCAGGAAGGATGTGTGCCAGGGATGTATCCTTTCTCTATACCTATTCAATTTGTATGCTGAGCAAATAACTCACGAAGCTGGATCCTGTGAAGAGGAATATGGCATCAGGATCAGAAAAAGACTCAACAACCTACAATATGCAGATGACACAACGTTACTTACTCAAAGTGAGGAGGACTTTGAAATACTTGCTGTAGATGATCAAGGACTATAGCCTTCAATGTGGATTACATCTAAACATCAAGAAGACAAAAATTCTCACCTTTGGGTCAAAAAACCATGTCATGATAGATGGAGAAAGGACTGAAGTTGTCAATGATTTCATCGTGCTTGAATCAAAAATCAATACCTTTGGTACCAGCAGTCAGGAGATTAGGAGAGGTAATGCATTGGCAACTCTTGTTTTCAGGGATTTCATTTGTAGATGAATGTTTATGTTTGTTGATAGTGCAGAATTATGTATGTAATAGCATTCCCTTTATGACGGTATTTCTTGTGCACGTCTCCACGGCTTTCCTTTTTTTAGTGATACTGTGCTGATCATCTTATTCTGTATTGCCTTTCCCTTCACAAATCTTAATGTCTCTTATCGGTTCATTGATCTTCCTCCCTTCCCATCCTGGGTAACCGTCACAGAATGTTTCTGTCTGCATGTAAACCTTTCTTTAGCTTTTTATAACAGTTTGTTGTTGTTGTTGTTGTTAGGTGCCTTTAAGCCGAGTAGGTCTCAGAGCAATCCTATGAACAATAGATCGGAACCGTGCCCTGCCCTGTGCCATCCTCACAATCTCTGACACACGTAGGCCTGTTGCTGCAGTCACTGTTTATCCACCTTGTTGAGGGTTTTTCACTCTTTCCTAGTCTCTCCACCTTCCCAAGCATGATGTCTCTCTTCCCCAAGCAAAACTGTCCTTTTGTGACTGACTTTTTTCTGCTCAGCATACTCTTCTCCAGATTACTCTACATTCATATTATAACTGGCGATTTACTTGTCAGCATCCACTCCCAACTGTGACTTCCTCAATGGCAGAGCTTATATATTTATTTCTGTATCTCAAGCTCCTAAACCAAGAACTGGCATATAACGGGGGACTCTAAATGTTTGGTGCATAACTGAACGGCCTTGTCATCCATGAACCCTACACGTACCTTTTCACGAGGGGATGGCAAGAGGTGTGCCTTGTTGCGGGTACGATTTCTGTCAGAGCTGAAGATGGTGGGAGAGAAGAGACAGCACTGAGAACTCAGAATTCAAGGGACAGGACCAAATGACCCAAAATCCCTGACCCTGGACAGATACTGTCAGACCTTGGCTCTCTCCCTTGCCATCTCATCTGTCTACCAAGACAAAGCGCACATCTCCCTCAATGCCTCACTCACCAGGTATCTGTGCCTTGGCTCTTGGTGATGAATGCTGGAAGTAGAGGCCCCAGTCAGAGAAACTACTATATCCATGTCAGAAAAGAGATGTGGCTGGGGCAGAAAGGGCTGGGGGAGTCCTGGCCAGGCAGAGAGGAGCGAGGTCTGTATTAGTCAGTAGAGGGCACTGCTACGAGAGTTGGGGGCGTTGGGTACGATCCTTGCAGGAGGCAGCTGTGGTCAGAAAGGGCTTTGGGACTGGAACTAGAGGTGTGAAGGGTCTTTGGACACAGTGATTGGGAGATAGGGGTCACCGTGTCTTGACATCTGAGTCCCTTGGTCGTGTGTCTGTTTTTCTTTGATGGGCAGAGGGTTCATGTGGCTGCCAGCAATAAATAAGGCCTCATCAGTGAGTTCTGTGCTGATGCGGGTCAGGAATTCCTCAGATCGGGATAAGGAAACCTTCTGGGAGAGAAAAAGCAGTCAGGGGTGCTCAGCCTAGGCCTCTACATGGGGTTTCTAGGTTGGGCAGCTAACAGACTGGGGCTCCAGGTCTAATGAGTCCCATGTTGGAGGACTGGTGACTTAGCCCTAAGGAGTTGTACTGCCATCCCAAAGACAGGAGGTTCAGGTCCACGAGCTACTCTGGGAGACAGATGGGCACTGCCCTCCCCTGTGATTTACCGCCTCTGAAAACCCACTGGAGGCTCAGCTGTGAATTGGTTCCAACAACACGGTATATAACAACACTGGAGGACCGAGCCTTTGAGCCTTTGTATTTGACCTAGAAGGCGGCATGTTTAGAGGCGGGTAGGAGGACACAGTCTTTGGGGACTTTAGGGCCAGTGATCAGGATTATGGGTCAGAGTTTAGGGCTTAGGGCTGGAAAGTCTCAGCCCTTGGGGGCGGGTGTGTGTGTGGGGGCAGGGGTTTTGGGGGTTGAGGGGGGGCGGGGGTGGGTGGGTGGATGAGGGATTGTCTCAGACATGGATGAAGTTTAGGGCTGGGTTCAGGGTTCAAATATGGACTAAGTTCTCATGGTTCACATCTGGACTGGGGTGCCTCGGCTCACAGGAGTTCTCCAACTTGACTCCCACCTTCCACGCACCCCTCCAGGGCTCACCGGACCTCCGCACAAAGAGGATGCAACCTGGGAAGGCCAGCTGCCCTTTTTCTCCTCGTTCTTGATAGGTGTGGATGCCATACCCCTGGGGACAATTGGAACCTTTTGAGACTGAGAATCATCCATCCCAAATCATTAAAAGCATTTTCTGGCTCAGATTTAAACAGGGTTTATAGATTAACTATCCTGGCGCCTCAATCCCCATAGATTCTTTCGAGGGGGGTGGATTAGGGATAGGAAGCACAATCCCCCCTCGCCAGGACAGAGGCTCTCCCCTTCCTTCCAGAGGCTCTCCCCTTCCTTCCTTCCTTCCCTCTCAAGCCAACGCAGCTCACTTGCCGTCCCAGACTTGGCAGATGTTAAAATCTTGGGCTACTTGGCAGGAAAGGAGATGGGGCGGTCAAAGGGTCTCCTTGCAGCGGCTGTTGTTATAGCGGGGGGCGAGGGGGGCAGGGAAGCGGAGATGGGGAGGAAGGTTGGAAAGAAAAGGCCGTTGGGTGGCGCCGCTATCCGTTGTTATAAAAACCTTACTGTTGTCAGAGATTCCACAGCCCTGTTGCCAGGAGATATATTAAAGGTTCTAGAACCAAGGAGGTGGGGGGTCATTTTCCCAGCATGCCCTCCCCAAGCCTCTCCACCACCTTCGAGGGACCCCAAATGTCAGAGGCTTGAGATGGGAAAGCTCCCCAACAACAGAGCCTCGGACGTAATCCTCCTACCACTAGGGGCGCGCAAGAAGCAACCCCGCCCAGAGCCGCTCTTTAAGCCCTCTAGCCGTCACTTCGTAGTCGGGAGCCAGCGAGAGCGAATGCGTCCCGAGTTAGGGGGCGGGGAAGGGACAATATGGAGTGTACCAAGTCGCGTGGTCCCTTGGGGATGTGAAGACTTAAAGGGGAGGAATTTTTTTCTCTTGTTTCCGGGAAAATAATTACCTTATCGAAAGGAAACTAGAGTTCTTGCCCAGGCCTCTGGATTTTGATGTCGTCCTCATTTTGCTCGGCGTCGATGGTCTTTGCTCCCCTCTCCTCTGTGTGTTTTGGTACGCGCCAATGGCAAGGGCGGAGGAAGGAGGAGGAAAAGGAAGCGGGCGGATCTTAAAGGGGCCACAGCCATCTCTCAAATCTCTCTATTCCAGTTTTGCAATTCCAGGCGCCGAGGGTAAGTTTCCCGGACCTGAGCTCAGCTGGAGCATCTGGAACCACAACTGGAAGCCGGGTGAACGGTGACCAGGGACTGCGCATCGGAAGGGCGGGCTGTGCGCGCCGCCTGCGCCCCGGGCTCCCCGGGCCCGGCTCATGCTCGGGTCTCCGGCCAGCTTTCACACCAGGGACCGGGCAGCGGAGCTCTGAACGCACTTGGCGAGGCCGATGCGCCGAAGCGGAGGGTGAGGTCGCGAGGGGGCTGGAACAGCTGTGGCATCTTCGGAACGGGCCCGGGACGGCTGCGCAGCCGCCGCGATGCCAGGCGAAAATATCTTCCTGTTCGTGCCTAACCTCATCGGTGAGTGCTGCCTGCGGCCCTGGGGCGCGCGGGAGGGCGACGGACCCGGGGCGCGCGGGAGGGCGACGGACCCGGGGCGCGTCTCTGACGCTCCTGCCCCCTCTGTCTCCACCTTCCCCATCCCAAGGTTATGGCCGGATCATCTTCGCCATCATTTCTTTCTACTTCATGCCCTGCTGCCCCCTCACGGCCTCGTTCTTCTACCTGCTCAGCGGACTTCTGGACGCTTTCGATGGACATGCCGCCCGAGCCCTTAATCAAGGTGACAGCAACCAAGCCAGTCGTGGGACCCCATAACCCCCTGCCCCTGCCTCCTCCAGACCTCAGGGTGTGCTGGAACTGGGAATCTGAAGGCTCTGTCATCCTCATCTTTTGTAACAAAGAACCTTTAAAGCTAGATCTTGAGGAGCTCTTAGAGATTGTGATGTCTGATAGCAAGAGTGGACACCAGTGGCAGCGCTGCAGGTCCCTAGGGAGAATCTAACAGGTGTTTTCTGAGGGCCTACTATGTGCCAGACACAGCACTAGGGATTCTGGAAGGCATGTTAAGAAGAGTGAAGAGAGAGATCATGGCTTTTAAAGAGTTGACTGATTTTTGAAATGTTCTCCGAAACCACCTCTCAAGACTTGCACTGAGGCTTCAGGTCTCTCTGTCTTGACCTGGAGCCTTGGCTCTGGGGATGATAAGTTGTAGAGATGGCTTTCCATCCCTAGCCCACACTGTGCCTTCCACATGCCCCCTGCCTTTTCATTTCTTGTCGTTGCGACCTTTGCCCATTCACCTCTCCATATCAGACCTGTCACACATAGCACCTTTCACAGGGCTCTAACAACCGCTTTCCATCTAATCCTCATTTTTCAGGGACCCGGTTTGGGGCCATGCTGGACATGCTTACAGATCGCTGCTCCACCATGTGTCTGCTGGTCAACCTGGCCCTGCTGTACCCTCGAGCAACCCTTCTTTTTCAGCTCAGCATGAGCTTGGACGTGGCCAGTCACTGGTTGCACCTCCACAGGTCTGCTGCGATTCTGGGCTGCCGGGGGTGTTTACAGGTTGAAGGAGATACGACAGTGACAAAATTGAGACCAGACGGGAGGGTATCTGGGATTCCTTATTTTTAGCCTCATCTTTGTTGACAATGCCTGTCGCTCCTTCAGTCCGCTTCAGTTCTATTTACAGTTGAATGAAGCAATTCCTCTCTAGCTGGCTATTCCAGGATTCCAAATGGGAAGCTGGGGGGATCTTTAGAATGTGGCATTTGAATCATGTAGCTTTGGACAAGATCCTGTGCTCCAGTTCATGTGCATCATAAAGGCAATCCCAGGATCTGTGCATGGGGGGATCATGTGAGGGCTAGATGGATTTAGTAGTAACAAGTCCATGGAATTCCCCTACTGTCTCCCAAAGTTCTGTGGTACAAGGCAGTGAGAGTCACAAAATGATCGACCTGTCTGGGAATCCGGTGCTTCGGATCTACTATACCTCCAGAGTGAGTATTTCTACCCCTCCTCATTATTCACTCAGTTTAGGCCACGTCCTGGATGCGCCCTGGTTCCAGATTAAGAGAGGCAGGACATCCAGTGCACTGTCCCAAAGAAGGAAGAGCTTGTTAGTGCTGAGGAATGAAGAAAGAGTAGGATTGATAGGAGGGATTATGACTGCTCCAGGCAGCAGGTGGAAGTAAATCCCTTGTGTTGCTCCTTTATCTTCCCTTATGTCCTGCCCTGCTTCCTGCCTGGCTGAGAGCTCTGGTGGCCTAGCGCTGCCAACCCAGAGGCAGGTGGTTTGAATCCACCTGCTGTTGGTGCACAGAACAAACAACATCCCTGAGGGGAGGGAGCTCTGGTGGCAAGTCCTATGGGACTTGCACTTCTGGCCCAAAGGTGGTGCCTCCTCAAGGGTGGTTCAAATCCACCAGCAGCCCTGTGGGGAAGAGACGGGCAGCCTCTTCATAAATCATGCAATTTACAGCCTCCGGCAAACTCATTGTAAGGTCAGCTATGAGTCAGTTCCGACTCCACAGCAATGAGTTAGAATTGTCCCTGAGGGATCAGGGGAGAGCGGGGAGGGTGAGGAATTACACTGCCGCCGATCCCGCTTTGCTTAATGAACCTCTCTGCCGTGTATGCAGCCTGCTCTCTTCACCCTGTGTGCTGGAAACGAGCTGTTCTACTGCCTCCTCTACCTGTTCAACTTCACCGAGGGACCACTAGGTAGGAGCTGAGGGGCTGGGTGGAGGGTGGAGGGGCGTTCGGGCCTGCCAAGGTGGCCGAAGGTCTCGGACTCCTGGGCCTGAGCTTGCACCGCAGTGCGTCCCTCCCTGCTCTCCTCCCACAGTTGGTTCCGTGGGGCTTTTCCGGATGGGCCTCTGGATCACCGCCCCCATTGCCTTGCTCAAGTCCCTCATCAGCGTCGTCCACCTCATCACAGCTGCCCGAAACATGGCTGCCCTGGATGCGGCAGACCGTGCCAAGAAGAAGTGACCGTGGAACGGCCAGGCCCCCAGCACCCACTTGCCCTGGGGAGTCTCAGTGTGCCACGTGGCCCCCTTCCCCTCCTAGGAGGTCCCAGTCTTCCTCATGTGTTCTCCCACCTGCTGGGATGAGGGATGGCCAGCCTCTCTTTGGTGATGTCATGTTCTCCAAAATCCTGAGGACCAACCCCACCACTGTGAGCCCCAAGGACCTGAGAATCAAGGAGAAAGGATACTCAAAGGAGGTCCCACCCATCCGGGTGATGATGCCACGGAGGCCTGTCTGAGGACGGGGCAGATGTAGGGTCCAACGTGGCCTGAGATTTTAGGGTCACTTGAGTGAGGGAGATGATGTGGGCACCACGCCCAGGAGGGAAGGGGCCTTCTAGATCCTTCCCTGTTGCCGTATCCTCTGTTCTGTTTACCCTGGCTGCCTTGACAATAAAGGCAGACTCTTCACTGTCTGGATTTGGTTTCCTTTGAAATACTCATTCTACAGTGCCTTCAAAAGCTCCGCTCTGCCATCTAAGCTTATGTCATATCCTCTCTGCTGACTTGCTTAATTTTTCTATAACACTTACCTACATTTTATTTGTATGCTCAATATTTTTTTCCCATCGCGATACGCTTTTTGATTTCCTGACTTCTGGTGCCAAAAGTGTTGACTGTGGAGCCGAGCAAACTGAAGCTGTGGACACTCTCAATCTCTTCGTCATCCATCCTGACGCTGCTAATTGGTCCAGTGGCGAGAATCTTTGTCTTCTTGACATTGAGCCTTAGTCCATACTGAAGGCTGCAGTCCTTGACCCTTCGCAGCAAGTGCATGAGGTCCTCCTCAGTTTCTGCAAGCAGGGTTGTGTCATCTGCATAACAGAGATTGTTAGTCTCCTCATAGAGCCCAGCCTCTCAGATAATCTGCTGTGCATACATGTTGAAAAGGTATGGAGACAAGATGCATCCCTGGCGTACACCCTTCCCAATTTTGAACCATGCAGTGTTACCCTGCTCTGTTCTGACTACTGCCTCTTGGTCCAAGTATAGGTTTCGTATTAGCACAATTAAATGTTCTGGGATTCCCATTCTTCTCAGAGTCAGCCACAGTTTATGATCCACACAGTCAAATGTTAGGGACCTCTCAAAGGTACTCAGGAGCAACAGTGTCTCTCTGGAGACTAAGGTGCGCCTGATACAGGTCATGGTATTTGCAATCGCTTGTTATGCATCAGAGAGTTGGACAATGACTAGGGAGAACAGAAGGAGAGTGGATGCTTTTGAGCTGTGGTGCTGGAGAAGAGTACTGAATGTACCATGGACTGCCAGGAAAACAAACAGATTCATCTTGGAGAGGATTAAACCAAGCTACTCCTTGGAGGCAAGGATTCTGGGGCTTCGTCTGACATACTTTGGACATGTTGCCAGGAGGGACGGGTCCTTGGAGAGAGACATCATGCTTGGGAGGGTGGAGGGACAGCGCAGGAGGGGAAGACCCTCTATGAGATGGATTGATTCGGTGACTGGGGTAATCGGGATGGGTGTGTCAGAGGCGGTGCGGTTGGCGCAGGATAGAGCAGGGTTTAGGGCTGTTGTGCAGAGTCGCTACGAGTTGGAAACGACTAGATGGCACATAACAACAATAATATTTTTTTAAGACAGCTGTTTTTTTGGTTCAGGATTCAGTAAGTTAGCATTTTAGGATGGGCTCAGCTGGGTGGTGGTTCTGCTCTTGGCTGAACTGAGCTGCAGGTCATCTGCTGCTGCTGTGGGTTAGGCAAGTGTGGACAGTTTCTGTCATCAACCAGCAATCTCACCTGAACTGGTTTCCATAGAAGCAGGGCAAGATTTGAAGAGCTAAGTCCTTTTCTGGACAAGAGGGAGCTTGCAGAGCTGACCCTGGGGCCTGGATTGTGCAGAAGGGGCTGTAGCCCATGGGGAGAGAGGCAAGTCTGGAGGCAGAACTGAGGTCAGCAGTAGTCACAGGCTGATCAACAAGTCTTCAGAATGAGGCAGAAGCCTGGGATGCCATTGAGTTCTCTACATGATAGTGTTTATTCCACTATTAAGTTCTATGTTCTCCAGGGATAAGCCGAGGAGTCTGCAATTTTAAACCATTTTTGAGTGCCTACCATATACACATCTGTCACAAATAGCAACTCCTATTTGATCTTTCTCTCGGCTCCAGTTTTCTTTTTATTTTTTTTTAATTTATGTTTTGTTTTCAGAACCACCATCTGCCAGACCCTGTTGGGTTTTTGGGGTTTTTTTTGCTGATGTGACTCATTTAGTTCTCATCCTAGCATAGCCAAGTGACCCAAGAGACAGTCCATGTCCAGGAGAGCCGACATTTGGCCAGCGTGCATGGATACTCAGCTCTTGGACCATCCACAAGGAACTCAGCAGACAGCTCTGCAGCCTGTCGGTGGTTTAGTGGGAAAGACTTGTGCTGCCAACTCAAAGGCAGACTGTTCAAATCCACGAGCCACTCCGTGGGAGAAAGATGAGCTAACTCCTGTGCAGTGTACAGCCTCTGAAAACCCACTGGAGGGTCACCTACACTCATTTCTGACTCCACAACCCATAACAACAGTGGAGGAGCAGTAACAGTTTAGCTAGGAAAATAGAAACCTCACTTATTTTTGGTGAAAGGGGTGGGTGTCCTAAGTTGCAATAAATTAAGGCAGGAAGTGCTAGCAGAGGAGAGAATTCTCAGCTTACAGAATAATGAGCTGTCCGGGAGGCCAGAGAGGATCTTGGGAAACCAGAAATGGAAGTGTATCAGTTTAGCTGGAACACATTAGTGCTGGCGATGGGGTGGGGGGAGGGGGCCCTAATGGGGCTTCAGGCAGAGCAGGCCAGCAAGGATGACCTGAGGAAGTGGGTAGGAGGTTTAGGGCTTTAACCTGAGAGTCACAGGGAGCTACTGAAGGGATTTTTATTTGAAGTAGGTAAAATATCCCCACAAAATTTCAACCCACAGTAGGCGTATGTCTATAAGTTCCCTGTATCTCTACATTGGTTCACATGCATCTACTGCTAACAAATGACCACTGTTCTAAGTGCTTTTTTAATTCTTTACATCTCTGAACTGTCAGGGCCTGGCTAACCTGCAAAGCAGGATCAGCGATGCATAGTAAAAACAGCAGGACCACTCATGTTGGCTTGACCATCCTTTCTATAGTAAACAACTCCAAGAAGCAGTATGCTAATGAATAAGGAGGGACCAAAGGCCTCAGAATTCTAGGACTGTGATACCTTCTTGTTTTCCAATAGATATCATAGAATATGTCTTTGTTTTGTGTTGAGGTCTGGGAATGTTTGATCTACCAGTCAACATCTTTGGACAGATAAGAGATAATGTGATTACCCCTGGGGTGTGTGTGTGTGTGTGTGTGTGTGTGTGTGTGTGTGTGTGTATACCCTTGCCAGAATATTAAACTTGCTATTCATCATCAGTGATTAGTCTCTCTGAGTCTTCATTTCAACCTGGTGCCTCCTTTTGGCAGAATTCTCCTGACATATTGGGGCTGGATCCCCGATACTGAACCACAATTACTCTATTATGCTTGTTCTACAGACAGGAAATCTAGACTCCTGAGTGCAGTCTGACTGGCTTGCCTCCACAGTTTGCACAATTTACCGAGTGCACCCAGCACAGTCATAGCTGCCGCTGCATAATGGCTGCGTAGTATTCCATTAATTATTTAACTGAGCCTTTTGACTGCAAGCAAATCATCTTAGACTTCTTTTGAGGGGAGCTTGTAGGATGAGTGTTGGAAGTCTTTCCATAAAGGCAATGGCTGGGGTTGATTTGTGCTTGAGAAAGATGACCATTCTGTCCTCCTGTCTGGCCCGCAAGGAGCAGCTCGGTCTCTAAGGGGGAAGAAGGAAAGGTCCACTCCCTGATCCTGCTCTAGAGTTCTTCCTCCCATGAGTGCTCCTCTCCAGCCAAAGAAACCCTCTGACCCTCTGGTCAAACTGAAGAGCAGGGAGCCCTCTTAAGCTGCTGGCTCCTGCAATCCCATTGTCTCCTTGGTACCATCCCCTTAGTAGGAAATCAGAAGTCTGACTTAGCCAGCAATACTTGAGCTAAACAAAGGGAAGAGAAATTGGAAACGGCCCCTGGAGTTGAGCACAGAGGACCCCAGGAAGGGCTTCTGAAGCAGAGGTGAAGGCAGGAAGTTAGGCTGGTACTTCCTCACCCATGGCCAGTAGCTGGACTGAGTGTGGTTACCACTCAGAAACACGGTCATAGCTAAGAGCAAAGAGGCTGGCGAATAGACTGAGAAATAGAGTCCTGTGTGGGCTTAAGGAGAGGAGGAAATGCGTTTGATAAATGGCATCTAACCATGTGGAATATGATTTCGCTCTTTAAAAACAGGTTCTTCATATAAAATGGGTCCATGAACAATCAATTCTCTCTGGTGCTCAACTGGGAAGAAACAGATAAAGTGCTGAATCTAATCTGATACCACACTGTACTGTGTTTTATGGGCCATTTAAGAGATTTTCAAGGGTAATTTGGTAACAAGTGTTTCTTACCATTAGGGCTGACTTGGAGTTTGGCTCTGATATAAGTTGAGCTCCCCTATGCAGCAAGGACTATTTGCCCACCGCTGGGTTACATCTCACTTCTCCTACTGAGAGGTCTGTTGTTGTTATGTGCCATCAAGTCACTTGCGACTCAGCGACCCTATGTACAATAGCCCTAAACTCTGCTCTGTCCTATGCCAATCTCACTGTCTCTGACACTCCCATCCCAATTACCCCAGTCACCAAATCAATCCACCTCCTAGAGGGCCTTCCCCTCCTGCACCTGCCCTCCACACTCCCAAGCATGATGTCCTTCTCCAAGGACCGGTCCCTCCTTACAACATGTCCAGAGTATGTTAGACTAACCCTCTCCATGATGAATCAGTTTGTTTTCTTAGCAGTCCATAGTACCCTCAATACTCTTCTCCAACACCACAACTCAAAGGCATCAATTCTCCTTCTATCCTCCCTAGTCATTGTCCA